ATATATATATATATGAGTAGTATTTTCTAAAAAACTTAATTGACTACAATGCTACAAAGATTTATAATCAATTAACATTATTAATGAAGAAAATAGAATAAATATTATTAAATTAAATTAAAATGATGTTTTAAATCTTGCCTCAATCCTTAACATTTTTTGACTACGTGATTAGGGTTGTCAAAATGACTCTATGTTCGTGAACAGCTTGTGTTCGGCTCATTAAGCAAACGAGTCGAACACGAACACACTTTTTGAGCTCGAAATATAAACGAGCCGGCTCAGCTCGTGTTCAGCTCGTTTACACCCCTAATGTTAAATATGTAAATATATGGTTGTTGAGTGATCTTTCCTCTATTAGAGATATTTTAATCTATAGAGATTGGAGTATATACAAGTACGTAACATATGTTTTCAATTGAGGATAATAAGAAAGAAAGAGTTTTTTTTCCATGGTTTCAGAGCCACGGATGGCTCTTCGCTTCTTCTCCTCTGTTCAGTGTCATCTCCTGTACTCGTCGTTCAAATTGTTCTTTCGACTCATCATTCGTCTAAGCGATGTGCATCGTCAACATCATTTGCATATCTTCGTTCGCACAAACAGTTTCATCAGAATCGCTCATCGAAGACGAACGGTTAAAGCATATGGGATTAGATCTCTGATCTTCCTGCAACGAGATTAGGGCATCGTTCGATTCTTCTTCTGCTTCGCCTTCATCCTACGACATCACTAGCTCAAGTGTTGTTGTCAATCACAAGAGGTCATCACTCGCGGAGTCATTCAATGCGTTTGGTTGTCTTCAGTGATAGTTGAGTTATCTCCTACGACTAGATATCATACGTCTCACCTTTTCACTCGTCCTCGTCTTTGTGTTGAGGAATCCATCATTAGGATCAACTGATTCATTCTCCTTAAATATTTAGTGATTTTCATGGTTGTTGAATAAAAACAGGTTGTGACAAATTTAGTTCCATCAGTGACTAAAATTACTAATGAAAGTTTAAATGACATCAACTATTTTATTAGAATAAAACTGTGAGGCTCCACTTAAGAAGTATTTCTCAAGAGATTCACCTCATTAATAATCTGTTAACTGAGTATTTTAAATTATTCTAAGTAGATAAGAGTCGATACCCAACTATTGATACAAATACGGAACTCTACCGAATCTGACCAGTCCAATTATATTACTCAATGTGATTGTGTTAAGGATATGATGGATGAATTGACATTTATGTTTTATGGTTAGTCCAATTATCTTTGATGTATGCAATGTGTTTTATCGAGCTAAACAACAATATCAATCACTTAACACTTATCACATGCACTTTAAACATGTTTATGAAAAAATGAATGTGCTATTGTCATTTAGTATTAATGTCTCGATTCAACAGGCTTAAAGAGAACAAATGACTATTATGAGTTCTCAACTCTCAAGATTAAGGTGTCAAATAACAAATCTTATATGGACAGTGAGTTATTACTCTGAGGGAAGCCTAAACTAGAGTGTTGTGCGCTATTCCGAGTTCTCAAACTTCATCCGTACAAAACCCTAATGTTATTGCTAGCCAGAAAAGTATAGATAACGGTAAACCTCCTCATGGCAATTATGGAAGTGGAACTTCGAATCCTGGAAATCAAGGCTCAAGAATAGTCTGCTAATACTTCCATGAACTTGGTCATACAATGAGAACGTATTAGAAGTTGCTACAAAAAATTAAAAGGTTTATAGATAAAAGTCAGCACACATGATCACTACTAATGAGGCCTCTCATAATCAGACTTTCTCACTTTCTACATATGAATATGATAAATTCATCCAATTTCAGGGAGCATTTAAGAAATTTCCCTCTATCACTATCTTTGTTGAGTCCGATAATAATGATAATTATCTTATTTTCTCTTCCAAACAATGAGAAATTGAATTCAGTGTTACAAATCATATGACAAGTTATCCAAAACTCTAGTCCACATTTCATAAGCATCTTTGTTCGGTCACATTAGAAGATAGATTTACCTCTAATATTCTTGTTTCTAGCACCATCAATGTTACACCAACATTACATTTAACTTCTATCATCAGTTCACCTCAATTCTCTTTTAATTATTCCTATTTGCGTGCTCTTAATTATTGTATCTTATTCTTCCCCGACCATAATCTTTTTCAGGATCTTATCATAAAGTAGATTACTGGTAAATAATAAGAGTGAGTGGGGGGCTATATTTATGGATAACAAACTACCTCAACCATAGCTTTTTCCAATAACTTATCTCATTTTTAGTTTCATTATCGATTAAGGTATCCATCACTACCAATTCCAAAAAAATTATACCCTCTACCAATTCCAAAAAAATTATACCCTCAATTTCAATAATTATCAACTTTAGATTGTGAATTATGTCAATTTGTTAGACACACTCATTTGTCTTATGTTACCAAAATTATTAAGAGTTAGTCATAGTTTTGAATTGATTCATTCTAATGTATGTTGACATTGTCATTTTTATCTAATGAATTTCAATATTTTATCACTTTCGTAAATGATTTTTCTCGTATGACTTGCCTTTATTTTATGAAATCTTGTGCTGACTTATTGTCACATTTCGACTCTTTTGTGTTGATATTAAAAGTTCAATGTTCAGACATAATAGCATAAAATGAGATGCTTCACCAGTGATCATGTGTTGATACTTCATCCCAAAGTGAGAAAAATAGACATTTTCTTTATACAACTATAACACTTTCATTTTAAATGAATGTGCACGAACGGTTTTTGGGCTGATACGGTCTCTATTTATCTTTGTTATCAATCGGACATCGTGTTGTTTTATAGAACCATATATTCTATCAAATTAACTCTCTTTCCCAGAAAATTATTCGTATATTTGGGTGCATGTGTTTTGCTCGTGATACTTGTCTACAGGTTTTTAAATCGAACTATTCACCGTAAGAAAAAAATTGTAAAAAAAAAATATAATAATAATTAATTAAATGAAAACACTAAGTACTCCTTCCCAATAATAGTCCTCACTCTTTCGTTCAACTCACATAACATAACGCACGGGAGCCTCTAATCCATGACAGGGGTATAAAAAAACATGCAAAAGCCCTCGCCTCTCGATCCCTCTCCTTGCGCACGAAACTTCCCATGTTTGATTGCCACTCGCACAATGTTCATTGCCTATTCTTGCGATTCAATCATGACTTTGCTACAGGAAACCAAAGGCGGGATTGTAGCATGCAAAGACCTACGAAACTCTCATCTACTTGTTCGAGTGTCTCAGACTAGAAGCTCATTCATAACCCTTCGTTCTTTCCCCCTTCCACCTCTTCTGACTGAAACTGGTGACGATTGTTTTGATAGTTTTACTACATAATGTCATATGATATTGTACGTTATTTACTATGATTGATATAGGAAAAACATCACATATGATTATTAAGATCACCTAACTTGTATAGCATATGAGATAATAGTTGTGATTGATGATATGTATTTTTTGACATTGCTACTATAGTGATTTGATATTATCTTGTAGGTACATGTCTTATAGTATACATATACATGTTTAGTGACCTAAAGACTTCCTTGTTTAGCATTCATTACATGATTATGATGTAATAATACATATTATTCTACTTTCATAAATTGATTTCGGTTGTAAATTTCGTGTAACCTACTAAATCGTGGTTGTTTACTCTTATTGTTTTTAAATGTTTTCAAGAAATCGTAAAGATCCAGTGAAGCGAACTGATTGTACTTACTCCAAGAGGTATATTTTATGTATGAATTTTGTGATCATGATAAATTTATATGTTTTATTAAGATTATTAAAACAATCATAATCAATTTATACAAATATTTTAGATTTAAATAGTTTTGGTGTATATAAGAAAAATAAAATGATGATATTTAACTTTATTTTTATACCATTATTGATCACTTAGTGTTTCTGTGCAATAAATATTATAAGATAAAAGAGATTCCTTCCAAAAAGATCTTGGGCAAAATATATGTTACGCACTCAACTTGGTATAATCTATTAAAGTATATGAGTTATATCAGATTGGATCGTGATATTTGAATAATTTCAGAGTTCTACACATGCCTTTCTAAGCAAGCTTCATTTCAAATTCATATATTAAAAGATCATCCACGTCGCTTAAAGCAGACAAAATTCTTGAAATCATTCAAATATTAATAAATAAACTCACACGTGCTCCGACTCATAAGTTAAATTTTTAAATGCAAGTTCTAAAAATGTTGTGCGAGTCAATTTAAAATTAAGTTCAAAAAAAATATTGAATAGGCTCCATCTAAAATTGTAAGTGTTTTAACGAACAGTTTATAAATGTTACGCGGGTTAAAACCAAACATTTATTCAAATAGCTCATATTTTAAATCAAGCAATCAATCGGGATGTCTTGTATATAGAATAGTATAGTAAATATTACTCGACTAGTTTGAACCTCCTCCACTTAAGTACTAGAGTTCACAAGTCTAGCAAGTTTCAATAATGTTCAAACTACATATGTAAAATTTGCAAGTTCAAATCATATAGTCTGACCCTTCTTAAAGACTGAAGTCAACAAAACTAATATGCTAAAGATGTCAAAATTGATAGATTTCTAAATGAATCTTAAACATAAAACTTTTAAATGTCAAATCCCTGATGATGGTTATGTTATTGTGAATCTAAACCGAATAGGTCGATTTTAAAAAAAAAATTGAAAGTAAAAAATTTAAAATTCAAGTAAACTATTGTGAATCTAAACCGAATAGGTCGATTTTAAAATAAATTTTGAAAGTAAAAAATTTAAAATTCAAGTAAAATTAATCACTAAAAAAATTAAATCAAATCACATTCACCCACTGCAACAGTTATCGAGGGTGAAACATTTGATTGACTTCAGCTCCTAAAAGAGCTAATGTCACATAGAGTGTACCATTATAATCACACTCAAAATAATTTTATCCCAGAAAAAACGTAGTCTGAATCCTCTATCCGCATGGTTTAGCCCCCAAAGCTCCACAAAATAACAGTTATGATTAGAGTCATCTGATCTAGTAATTGTTGTCAAATGACACAATTATATTACGATTACGGTCGCAGCCGCACGTATGTTCCACAATGGCTTTTTACCCTTTGAATTGTGAACCAAAACTTCTATTAGTTAAGATCGACTTAAATTTATCCTTTTAAACAAACATTCACCACAAATCTACAAAGAACTCTTGGATGATGCAACCTATGATTGTCAACAATGATACTTCACTCAAATTGGGTCGACTCTCTCCTCTAACTAAGCAGATAATGGATCACGACGATCGGTGACGGCGGAACTATGAGATCTTGATCAGCTTTGTTACCATTTCCCCAATCATTTGTTTTAAGCTCCAAGTGATAAATTTTACAAATTAAACCTTATGTTTGTTGCTACTATATGTTACATATTCAATTCAAAATGATTAGCCTTAATCAAAAGTGTTATCCCATTATCGAAATTGGTAATTAATCATAGGAGCTTACGTCTATAAGAAACCTGAACCACATATCAAAAAGTCCTTGCAAATTGATGATGAAATCTCTGGGTAGTATCCTGTATACAATCCAATATGTCTTCTAAAATTTAACTCTTAAGACTCTCAATAACACATGTGAGAGTCCGGAGCATCCAAATTTTCAGAGCCCACAAAAACCCCAAGTCATTAAGGTGTCCTTCTAAAATACTCTCATTTGCAAAAAAGGAATTAGTACTTTTTTCCCTCTTAAACCGGTGCATGATTTATGTTGATGTTACCTTTCATAAACCTCATTCATTAGTGACTCATCATTGCCTAAATCCTCATAAGATTTTGATGAGTTGTTAATGTATCACATCATCGACTTAGATTCAGCTCCAGCTCTACCTCCACCACCAATGTCTCGGCCTAGACCACATCACTAATGTTTACTCTAGAAGACCTCGTCCCCCTGATCTTAGTTTGGCACAGGTATCATCTTTTTCAATGGATTCTCCTGCTAGTGACATTGATTTACCCGTTACTCTACAAAGAGGTAAACATCAATATGTTTATATCATTTTCTTTTGTGTTAACTATAACCAATTATCTTCTAGTTCGTGCTCATTTCTTAATTCTCTCGATTCTCTTGAGGTCCCAAAAATTGTTCAGCACTCATTTCTTAATTCTCTCGATTCTCTTGAGGTCCCGAAAATTGTTCAGCAAACCCATTCTGAGTCACAAGCAGCAATGTTTGGTCAGATGAATGCCTTGAGTAAAAATGAAACTTGGGAACTAGTTGAAACACCTAGCAAAAAAGTTGTTGGTTGTAAATGAGTCTTTAAAGTTAAGTTTCATTCTCATCGATCTATAGCTCGTCTTAAAGCCTGGTTGGTTGTTAAGGGCTATACTCAAACTTATAAGATTAACAATCAGGACACATTCTCTCATATAGGTAAGCAAACTTCGGTTTGCCACTTTCTGTCCTTGAACGCATTTAATAATTGGCCCCTGCACTAATCTGATCTTAAAAATGTCTTTCTAAATGGTGATCTTTTAGGAGAGTTAGGAATGAATCAAACCTCTTGGGTTTGTTTTTAGGGGGGGAAATAGGAAAGTATTTAGTCTTTGAAAGTCGTTATATGGATTGAAACAAAGCCCTTGAGAATTTTTTGCAAGATCTAGCCAAGCAGTAGAAGACTTTGATATGCAAAAAAAGTAAAAATGATCGCACCGTAAGTGATGCATAGGAATCTCACCATTAAAATAATTTCCTCAAAATCAGATTTAACACTAAAGATCTCGGTTCCTTGAAGTACTTTTAGGGATTGAAGTATCAAGGAGCAAGAAGGGTATATTTCTATCTTAGCGAAATTATGTTTTGGACTTTTTAATATAACTAGAAAATTAGGGGTCAGACCATGCAGTGCTCAGATGCTTCCTAATCAGCAACTTACCAAAAGATGGAGTCTTTTAATGATCTTGAACGATATAGGAAGTTAGTGAAAAAATTAAACCACCTCAAAGTGACTCGCCTTTACATCATTTATTCAATCAGCAATATAGTCCATTATTGATTGGCTTTGAAATGGATACTATGTTACTTCAATGGAGCTTGTGAACAATGTATTCTATATCAAAATCATGGACATAAAAATAATGAATTTATTTTTTATGCAGATTGAGAAAGTTCCAAGATTGATCGGAGATCTATTAGTGAATATTGTGTTTTTATTGATGATAATTTGGTCTCATGGAAAATTAAGAAACAAAATGTAGTGTCACAATCCAGTGCAGAATGAGTATCGAGTAATTGCATAAGTTTCGAGTGAATTGATGTGGATCTCTCAATTCTTGACCGAAATGAATTTTAAGAAGACAATTCTAGCAAAATTGTGAAATGATAACCAATTTGCAACTCATACTATTTCAAATCCTGCCTTCCATGAATGAACTAAATACATTGAGAGGATTATCATTTTAATCGTGAAAAAATTCAACAAGATTTGTTTTTTATAACTCATGTAAAGATTGGGGAGCAACTGAGGGACATTTTCACGAAGACCCTTTAATGGAGCTAGAGTCACCTATATTCGTAACACGATGAGATTGATAAATATCTATGCTCCAGCTTAAGGGATTGTTTTGAAAAGTAAAATATAAGGAAGCTTATATATTAGGAAACTTGATTATAAGAAATTTATTAAATGAATTTTTTTTAGGTAAACTAATTACAAGATATTTCCACTATCATAGATATTCCTAATCAATAGAGATTGTAGTGTATATAAATATGTAACATATATTTGCAATTGAAGATAAAAAGTCGTTTTCCTTCACAAAAACTTGTTCTAAAAATTTTGGGAAATTAATATACATACATACAATTCTTTATGTATTTACATATCTAATAACCAAAGTTTGATACTTACACTCATAACACCTTGGTGTGATAAACTTATGCATGAGAAGTTATAATCCACTTTTAAAAAGATAACGGTGGTGTTGTTTTTGGTATGATATTACAGATTTAGGGGGGTATACGTCCAAATATGATGGCTTAGGTGTTATATATGTAAATACATAAGAATTGTACGGAATGCAAGTATAAGCCCCAAAATTTTGTTAATTATTATAGAAATAAAGGGACTGAAAAAAGAGTAAATCAGTTAAATTACCTCCATTTGATCTCCCAAGTTGACAAGTAAAGCCTGTGGAACAGTGAGGACTGAAAACCATTCTCCATCTTTAAGTACTTGCAATCCATCCACATTTTTGTCGAGCACGACAAGTGTGAGAGCTGAAGCATCAGAGTGAGCTTTCATACCAATCACAGCATCAGAATTAGAACAACTAGGGTAGTAATTAAATCTCGCAAATGCAGTAGCATCTCCCATTTGATCAGTGTAGTAATTTTCTTCCAGTTCCAGTAGCCTTGCAATTGCCATTAGAACATTGTTGGCAATCTTCTTTGCTTTCATGGAAAATTCATGCAATAAACTCCTACAATGAGAAAAAAAATAATCAATTGTTTTGCTTCAGATTTTACAGTAAAATGTGAGTTTGCATTATGTCAAAGGCTTATAAACTTTATATGTATTTGAGAATTGACTATCATGACACAACTGTGCCTATTCTCAGAATGAAAAAGAGGAATCATTTTTATTTAGCTTAAATCATAAAGACAGGAAGTATCTTCCAATATTTGCTTTAAAAGTTTCAATGTTAAGGATCCCAAAATGGTTGTCGAGTGTTGATATAGGTTCTCCATATAATTTAATAAATCATAGGCTCGAACACCTGATTTTGTGTGCAAATATTGTGGTAAATCAATTATTAATATCATCATCATCATCATTCTTTATCTCAACTATTAGGAGTAGGCTTTATGAGCTATCTTTTTCTGTCATCTAGTGAGTTATGCGTGGAGGTTTACACTTATTCTTTGCAAATCATTTTAAACAATCTCTATTCATGTTAAACTTAGGTGTTCCCATTTTCTTACTTTATAATTCTCAAAAGTTAGTTTTAGTTGCTGATATAAAGATTGCACCGTCTTTCATATTACTCTCCATGATCATCAAAATTCATATATTCGATCCGCGCATATTTAATAGATGTCAGTCCATCATTCTTCTAACCTAGTTATTTCTTAATTTGTCCTTCTTAGTTTTGCCAACTCTTCCTTTAGCATTCTCATTTCTATCACGACCCAAACCATATATTGGCAACTTTGTAAGGTAAAATTTGTATTTGATCAACCACAAATTAGGCCCAGTGCTTTAATCTCAAAACAAATCAAAAGGACTGGATAAACACCCTAACAAGAATAAGAATAAATTTAGAAATAATAAGCTTGAAACAACATAAAAACTCTGCAGAAAGGATGATTTTATCATAAGAAATCTATTAACACCAAAGCTGCCCGATCCAAAGAACAGATGGGGGCAATAATCAGCCAAATTGGTTAGCCCTGCCCACGAAATATTGCCAGACCACTCACCCCCCTCCATAGCATGTTATTTGCTGCTCTCTAACTTCTTTCTATGTGATAAATTATTCTATTATTTTCAGCTTCCATCATGGGTAAGATGATGATGTTTGTAGCTTTCTATCAAGAAATTGTAAAAAATTTAACCTTTCATTTTTTCAAATGTATCAAAACTTTTATATTTTTTAAGATTTTTTTAGTAAGAAAACATAATTTCTTAGGTAATTTCAATGCTCCGAATGCGATGGGGTGATCCATTTTATGGTTGGGCAATGTTCTGGGTGGCTTAAAGCATGATCGAAGCACAATAATCTGAATTTACATGTCGTCGTAATTAATATTCATTTTATATCAAGGTTAACACCTGCAACTATAAAATCAGCCCAATCAACATAATTATAAACTTTTATAATTCTACACTCTTCTTTCAAAGAATAGACCCCGTCTTGGATTCCTTATAAATATTTAAGTTCTTACTTTATTATTTTCTCTATGGGGAACATGCATGAACTAGCTTCCTATAGTAGCAACAAATGCAATGATAAGGAAAAGAGATTTTCAACCAATTCTTGGAAAACTAATGCTAAAATCACTAATTTTTTGTTAACAACCGTTGTAGTGTCAACAAGTTTGCTTTCAATCAACTTAGTTTTGTTCAGGAGATCTAAGGAAAACATACTCTCATTAAGAAATGATAATGTTTAACTGGATTTCTAGAATGAAATTTTTTGAGTTGGAGCCTGGTTTAAGAAAATAAATATTTGTTTGCCGCCTCTTTCAACTGTTCCCGTCTCTCATTCTTTGGAAGAGGCGTGACTTTTGCTTTGGTTGGCCCCACCACCATAAATGAAAGCAAAAGAGAGGAATTCTAAATATCTTCTTTGAGACCAAACTCCAAAAGCTGCTTCACGAATTTGGTTCCTATGTAAGGCTTACGGAAAAAAAAAACTGCTACAGGCGAGGCGGTTTTCAAGGCTTACGGAAAAGAAAGGCTTTTACAGGCGGACGGCTTTGATTTTCTTTATTCTGTTCGCAGCATTTGGGAGGCAGCAAGGCTAGAAGAAAAGGACTTCTTCTTCTTCACGTGACCAAACCAAGAGCAGAAGAAAATTTGGTATCGCATGCTATTGCTTCTACCTTGGTATTTCGGTGTTATGCTTACGGGTAGGAGTATCGCAACGTATTGTTCTCTCCTAGTGTCTTTCTTCAGTGTATCTCGCTGTAGAGAGAGAAGAGGAGAGATAAAGTTGCTTCTTGTAAAAAATCGAAGTGATCAACGGTGTAGTTCCGCAATTAGTATAATTCTCTGCAACTCCGTGGATGTAGTTAATTTGCCGAACTACGTAAATCTGTGTGTTATTTTCTGGTGTAAATTTTCTGGTTCTATTTTTCGCTTCGTTGTCGATCATTATATTTCAATATACCACAATAACTAGTATCAGAGCTAATAGCTGCAAATAAAGTGAAGGTTTCAGGAATCGAGAAATTTGATATTAAAGATTTTGGTTATTGGATGATTCAGATAGAAGATTACCTCTATGGGAAGAAATTTCATCTTCCGTTATTAGGGAAAATACCTGAAAGGATAGATGAAGCTGAATGGAATATGTTGGATCGACAGGTTTTGGGGGTTATTCGATTGACCCTATCAAGGTCCGTTGCACATAACGTCGTCAAGGAGAGGACGACTGCAGATCTTATGGCAGCCCTGTCAGGTATGTATGAAAAGTCATCGACGAATAACAAGGTATGTCTGATGAAGAAATTATTCAATTTGAAGATTACAAAAGGTACGTCTGTTATATAACACCTGAATGATTTTAATACTATCACAGATCAATTATCGTCTGTGAAAATTGAATTTGATGATAAGATATGTGCATTGATCTTGTTGACTTCATTGTCAAATAGTTGGGAAGCTATGAGGATGGTTGTCAGTAATTATGCAGGCAAATCAAAATTGAAAGATGAAGCTATTCGTGATTTGATTTTGGTTGAGGAGGTGCGCAGGAATGATTCTGGCAAGTTCTCAGGATTGAGTTCAGCATTAAATATTGATTCCAGATGGAGGTCACATGATAGGAACTCAAACAGAGGAAGATCAAAATCAAAAAACAGAAGCATGAGCAAGTCAAGGCCTAGTAAACAAGTAACTTGCTGGAATTTTGGCAAAACTGGCCACATAAAGAAAAACTGCAAGAATCCTAAGAAAACGAAGAATGACAGTGCAAATGTGGTAACTGAAGAATCACAGGATGCACTACTGCTGGCAATTCATAGTTCTCTTGATGACTGGATACTGGATTCAGGAGTTTTTATTAATACAACTTTTCATCAGGAATTGATGTGAAATTATGTTGTAGGTGATTTTGGGAAAGTATATCTAGCAGACGGAGAAGCTCTGAACGAGGTAGGAATGAGAGATATTGACATTGCACTTCCACATATGAAAGTGGACTCTGCAAAAGGCCATACACATCCCTGAACTGAAGAAGAATATCATTTTTGTTGAGCAGCCTGATAAGTGTTACACCCCTACATGGAAGGTTACTAAAGGAGCACTGGTATTGGCTCAGGATAAGAAAATAGGTACGCTATATATGATTACTGGTTTAATTAACAATGTTGATACTACTGTTGCAGAGAGCACAGCAGAGTTGTGGCCTTACAGACTTGGTCACATGAGTCAGAGAGGTATGAAAGAACTTCAGTCCAGAGGTAAGCTACCATAACTAAAGTTAGTTGATATCGACATTTGTGAGAGTTGCATTATGGGGAAACAGAGGAAAGTAGTTTCTTGAAAGATGGCAGGACGCCAAAGGCAGGAAAGCTGAATCTTGTACACACAGATGTGTAGGGACTTTCTCCAGTGACATCTCTTAGAGGCTCTCGTTACTACATCACATTCATTGATGATCATAGCAGAAATGTATGAGTTTATTTCTTGAAGCATAAATCTGATGTATTCGGTGTGTTTATGACTTTGAAAGTCATGATTGAGACAGAGACATGCTTGAAGTTGAAATGTCTGAGGTCTGATAATGGTGGTGAGTACATTGATGGTGGGTTTAAGGAGTACTATGCAGCTCAGGGAATTAGAATGGAGAAGACTACTCCAGGGACACCACAACAAATTGGTGTTGCAGAGTGCATGAACAGGACCATTAATGAGCGGGCTAGAAGCATGAGATTGCACGTCGGACTACCACCTACTTTCTGGGCAGAAGCGGTCAGTACTGCAGTTTATTTGATCAACATGGGGTCATCTGTTCCATTAAACTGTGAATTACCTGAAGAAGTCTGGAGTGGGAAAGAGATAAAATTTTATCACCTTAAGACTTATGGTTGTCTTTCATCTTTATTATGTTTTCATTAATCTTGATGCTCGAAGTAAGCTTGAGGCTAAGTCAAAGAAGTGTTATTTCATTTGTTATGGAGATGAGGCATTTGGATATCGTTTTTGGGATGATCAGGGTTGAAAAGATCATAAGGATGTACAAGGACAAGTTCAGTACAATTTCTGAAACAGCACTGTTACAAGGACAAGTTCAGTACAATTTCTGAAACAGCAATGTAGGAATCTGAGTTGATAAAATGATGATTTACCAGAGGTCACAGTGCAGGACAGAGAAGCAAGTGACGATGAGAGTGGATCTAGGGCATCCACTTCTATTGTTCCACAGTCAGTTTCAGAGCAGTCTACCCCTACAGTTGCAGTTCGCAGGTCAGAAAGGGTTAGACGTTCTGCACAGCGTTATTATCCAACTTTGAACTACATTCTGCTGACAGATGGTAGAGAACTTTCGAGTTATGATGAAACCTTGCAAGATGAAAATTCGAGCAAATGGGAGATGATCATGAAGGAGATGGATTCTCTGCTAGAAAATCAGACTTGGAAGTTGACAGAATTTTCATCTGGGAAGAAAGCATTACATAACAAGTGGGTGTACCGGGTGAAAACTGAGCATAATAGCAGTAAGAGGTACAAGACTAGACTTGTTGTAAAAGGTTTTCAGCAGAAGCACGGTATTGATTATACCGAAATTTTCTCTCATGTGGTGAAGCTTGCAACCATCAAAATGGTATCGTCTATGGTGGCTACTGAAGATTTCTTCCTTAAGCAGTTAGATGTGAAGACAAGATGTCTTCATGGAGATCTTGAAGAAGACATTTATATGCACCAACCTGAAGGGTTTGTGGTACAGGGAAAGGAAGAGTCAGTTTGCAGATTGAAGAAGAATTTGTATGGCCTGAAGCAAACTCCTAGACAGTGGTACAAGAAATTTGATAATTTCATGCACATTGCAGAGTATAGCATATGTCAAGCAAATCATTGTTGTTATGTCAGATATTTTGACAATTTTTATATTATCCTACTGTTGTATGTGGATGATATGCTTATTGCAGGTGCTAGTATTAAGGAGATCAATAATCTGAAGAAGCAGATGTCAAAACACTTTGCAATGAAGGTTTTGGGAGCGGCAAAGCAAATCCTTGGTATGAGAATTGTCAAAGATAGAGTCAAAGGCATGTTGAAACTCCCTCAAGCTGAGTATGTAAAAAAGGCACATAACAGGTTCAACATGGATAAGGCCAAACCAGTTGGCATACCCTTGGAAAGTCACTTCAGACTCAACAAGAATCAGTCACCCAAGTCAGAAGAGGAACGAGATCACATGAGTAAGGTTTCTTATGCTTCAGCTATTGTTTCACTTATGCATGTTATGATTTGCACCAGACCTGATATTGCTCATGCAGTGGGAGTTGTTAGCAGATACATAAGTAATCCTGGAAAAGAACATTGGGAAGCAGTGAAGTGGATCTTGAGGTACCTAAGAGGCTCTACTGAAGATCGCATGTTATTACTTCTACGTTGGTATTTCGGTATTCTGCTTACGGGTAGGAGTATCACAAGGTGTTGTTCTCTCAGTGTTTTTCTTCTTCAGTGTATCTCGGTGTAGAGAGAGAAGATGAGAGATAAAGTTGTTTCTTGTAAAAGATCGACATGATCAACGGTGTAATTACTAAATTAGTAAAACCCTCTGCAACTCCGTGGATGTAGGCAATTTGTCGAACCACGTAAATCTGTGTGTTCTTTTCTGGTGTAAATTTTCTTGTTCCATTTTTCGCTTCGTCGACGATCGTTTAATTTCAATATACCATAACAAATTTAGCATAGTAGTCGGTCGTAGTCATCTGCTGACTAGACCACATTGAGATTTTTATACACACTTGGGCGATGTAATAGAACACACCCTTATTCTATTAGTTTTAAGGCTAGAGCATAAGCTAGATCTTTAATTTTAAAGTCAACAAATTTTTATTCAAGATACTTAATTTAAAAAGCATGATCCCATAAGACAATAATGTTACCAACATACACAATTAGTGCGGCAACTTGTCATTCTAGTGTTTGCAGAATAAAGTCTGGTCTGATTGAACCTATATAAATCCCTACTGGCAAACCTTGTATAAACCTTTCAAACAAAATCATGGATAGCTATTTGAACTTGTAAGTAGATTTTTTTTTTCAATTTAACATGCTAATTTTTTTAGTTGGAAAATTGCTGCTTAGACTAAAAGGAAAATTTTATAAAATGGTGGTGAGACCTGCAATGCTCTATGGTGCTGAATGTTGGCCTTTAAAAGGAAAGCATAAAACTAAGTTAAGTGTTGCCGAGATGAGAATGAACAGGTGGATGAGTGCCTTTACACTTAGAGACAAAATGTGAAATGAATATATTCGTGACAGGGTTGGTGTTGCTCCTGTGACGGACAAAATTAGAGAGAGTCATCTTAGATGATTTGGTCATATCAAACGTCGAGAGTAGATGTTTTAGATTCGACTTATTTTAAGAAAGGCAGAGGTAGACATAAGAAGACTAGGACATATTGTATAAAAAAGGAACTTAATTTATTAGAATTAAATGAAAATATGACACTAAATAGGACCCAATGGAGAAAAAGGATTCATGTAGCCGATACCACTTAGTGGGATAAAGGTTTTGTTGTTGTTGTAATTAACATGCTAAATGTGTGTAAAAACTAGAATCCAAATAAATAAATAATATTAATGTTAATTAAATAGGTATTTAAGGGACAAGTGTATAGATTTTGTCTTTAGGAGTCGCATGCCCCATTCGAACAGATAGAAATAGAGAATAAGTGAGAGAAAAAATTAGAAAAGGAAGAAGGACGAAGAAAGAAGAAGAAGAGGAAGGAAAGGACGAAGGAGAGGAAGTATAAGTAGATTGAAGGAGTGGGGCTTGTAAGCATGACTTAAATATAAAATATCATAAATTAGAGGGCTAAATTTAAATTGAACACCAAATTTAATAAATTGGTGTATTCACTTGACTTAGCCATGAAATATCATAATTTAGAAGTTGAGCTTGACTTAAATGCCAAATATTATAAATTGGGAATAAATTTAAGACGTGCTTTTTTTTAATACTAAATGAAGATCTAATATGTCAAATCCACCACCGGATTCATAATGAACCTACTACCAAATAGAAAGGTGATCTCTCTTAAAACCTTAGTTATGAAAATTTTAAACTTAAGGCAAATACTTCAAACTTCAAAAGATTTCAAAATTTATGAAAAAAAAAAGAAAATGATTTCAAAGTTTATGAAAATTTTGTGGATTTCTAGTCAAATGCGATATTTGAAGGGAATTATTTGAAAGTGGGGACAATAACAATTGGTCAGAAGAGGGGACAATCACAGGGAAACTTCCCAAACGCAGAGGCTGCAAACTTTAAAAAGGCGTCAGCAATAAATTCCGCCATTCAAGAGGTGAAAGAGTTGCTAGCAGAAAACCGCAGCCCTCCAAGCCAAATAAGAGCTGGAGTCAATCAAGCGAACTAGAAAATAAATTTGCATTATTTTTTTCTCATTTGAAAAGATGCGGTAATATATCAAGGATTTTTTTAGAACTTAGTCATACAAATCTGAGTTTCTTGAAGCCCTAGTACAGGTGCTGAAGTAACACCAAGCTTGTATGCTAGGCTTTCGCTAAAAAATTCTAGCTGATCAAGGTTTCTTATCGAACTCAAGTAAGTGTATCCATGTTTCTGAGAAAACGTGTTTAGATGCTAGGGTCTCAAAAAACCCAAGCCTGCATAGCTGGTTAATTATCCTTGTTTATCCTTTTTTACAAAGTTTAAATTATGATCCTTTTCATAAAGTGATCAAACTATTGGGAGCCTTCAGTATCAGCTTTCGTGAAAGATTGGGACCATATATAATTAGATTACAAGCAAAGGCTAAGCTAAACCGATAAGTAAATCTCAAAAGATGATCATAATGGCTATTGGCTAGTGATAGTTGAAATCATAAATTAAGATTAAAAAAAAAAAGTTAAGTTTGATCATAGACGTAATTTTGTTCAGTAAATAGCAAATACAAGAAACTGACATCAAATATCTACTATGCTAAAACAGTGAGTAAAACAACATGAGAAAAAAAAGACGCATTTGGTAGTTTGTGGGTAAGAACATATTTTAGAAAATGATAATTTTATTTTCACTCATTTTGTTTGTGAAAATAATATGATGGAAATTGAGATGATTTGTAAGTTTAAAAGACTTATTCCAAATTATGGACATAACAAATTTCATTATTTTTAAAATGTATCTTTTTTTTTTTTATATACTTAGAAAAATCAAATGGGCACAAATAAAATTCAAATGCCATCTAAATAACACCTAAAAGAGAAAATTTAGTTTTCAAAGACACCACTCATGAGCCATGCAAGAATATGAACTTGTTTTTGAAGATAGAATGTGAAGTATCAAATGTTATACTGTATATAGAAATGCTAAATACCTGAAAGAGCTTGGATTATCAGGCCAAAGTTCTAGATGTCTCTCACTTTCTGGCTCCACTAAAACATAAAGACGATCATTCCAGTCACGGATTTGATCCTTTGTTGCCACCATATCATTTCCATATCCTTCCATCTTAAATTTTCCATCATCTGTGAGATTCTTATACTTCTGTTTCTCTTCTTTAGGAAGATAAAAGAACTTTCTAGCCACACTCCGCACCTCATCAAGGAACGCAGCTGACATCTCGTCGCTGACAATCTGCAATACCAGCTTTTTTACATTTAAAATATATCCTTTGTGCTTTATGGATACAAATTCTAAGATTCAAGATAAAACTTTGTTTTTTTTTGGCATACTAATTGTTGAAAAAATACGCCAAAGATTTTCTAGTAAAGATACATAGAAGCATGTTGATAATTCTGATAACCAACATTAACACGCAAAATTTTAATAATATTTATACAATAAAGTGAATTTCAAAATTTCAATATTCGAAAGCAAAAAAAATTAAAAAAATGAAAAAGAAATTTCATTTATGATTGTGAGTTGAATAAAATAGCTATGTGGTGCATAAATGTGAGAAATGGCCTCCATGACACACATATACAAACAAATTTCTCTCGAGCAAAATGTAAAATAATCATTTAATAAAAAAGAGTTTACTTCGAATAAGTTCCCTTTTTAAACACAGTGTTTGCTTCATTTATGAATTTAACACTAAAATGAACCTCTAACCCTCATGAATTAAAATGTTTTAATAATAATTTAATAATAATAATAACTTTTTATTTTAATCTACCGTTATGAATAATCATTTGAATGTTACTAAAGCAAATATAAAAATTATATTCTTTGGAAAAGAAAACCATATGAATCAATATTGTTTTAAATATTAGTTGTGTTTCCTAGTGCGTGACAATATAAAACATTCCTGTGATGATGCCTGTTGAGAACAACCTGTGTTCTTAGTGTTAAACATGCCCTTATTAAGCTATAAATAGAACCACTGAAACAAGAGAAAAAAAATTACGGATTTACTTTTCTAAAAAAATTTAGAATTTCTCTCAATTCTTGTGTAATGTTAGATTTAGATTCTTTGAGCTTTCTACAAGCCATCAAAACAAGTTCTGGAGAATGATTCTCCGAGTAAGCTAGTGAAATTTAGATCTTTCAATGGCATTATTTTCCTTTCTTCTAAATTATTTAATGATTGATATATGAGATTGATTCCAGATTTGATCGACATTTATGATATACATTTTCCTTTTTGTAGCTTGAATTTTATTAGCTGACAAATTCTAATATTTCTTAAAGGATTTTTTATTTTGATTACTTCCGTGTTATCATTTGAAATTGTGATTTTTGGAGAAGGAAAACAATATTATTCCTCTTCAATTTCTTTTAAAACGATTACAAAATAAATAGAAGGGGATGGCTCTCATATTAGTAAAGACATAAAATCAGTCATAACTCCCCATGGTAAAAGAATGAAACAAGAATTATAACATACCAAACAATATTCCTAAAATTCTAACACCTCCTCAAGTTGGAGCATAGATATCTATCATGCCCAATTTGCTTACAAGGAATTCAAAACTTGGACAGAAAAGCCCTTTGGTGAAGATGTCGGCAATTTGTTGATCAGTAGGAATAAATGGCATGCAAATAGCTCCACAATCAACTTTTCTTTTATGAAGTGCCGATCAATCTCCACATGGTTTGTGAGATCATGCTGCGACTGGATTTTATGCAATGTTGATGGCAATTTTATTGCCATAGTCTTCATTGGCATATTTATCAGAATCCACAGCTCTTCAACAATTCTTTTCAGCCGTAACATCTCGCATACTCTATTAGTCATAGCATGTTAGTTTGCCTCTGCACTACTTCTTGCCACCATATTTTATTTCTTACTTCGTTATGTAACCGAATTTCCTCAAACATAAGTAGAATATCTAGGTGTCGATCTTTTGTCAACAACTGGGCCCGCCCAATCTACATTAGTGTATGCTTCTATATTTTATTGTGTGATTTTCTGAAAGAGTAAGTCATTCCCTAATGTACTTTTTAGGTGTCTAACAATCTTGTCCGCAGCTTCAAGGTGTTTCTCATAGGGCGAAAGCATAAATTAACTTACAAAACTTACATCAAAGGCAATATCTAGTCATGTATGTAACAAATAGATCAACTTTCGCACCAACTTTTAATATCAAGTTGCATTAACTGGACAACTTGTCTTCACATCTCCCAATTTCTATTGTAATCAATTAGAGTATCTGCAGACCTATAATCACTCATCTTGGTTTCTTTTCAAATATAAAGAACATATTTTTGTGGGAACATCACAATCCCCTTCTTAGATCCAGCAATCTGCATGCCAAGGAAAGATTTCAGTGAACCTAAGTCTTTGATCTCAAAAACTGAAGAGAGAGAAGTTTTCAAACGGGTCACTTCATATATATCCTCTTCGGTGAGAATTATATCACCCATATACATTACAAGTTTGGCTATCTTTCCATCCTCGGAATGCCTGGAGCACATTTTATGATCTCCTTGCCTTTGAGAATAGCATTTCCTTTAACAAATACTGTAAATTTTTGAAACCACGCTCTCTGTGATTGTTTCAACTCATATATGGACTCTTTTAGTCTACACGCATTTGTGTCAATTTCTCACTAAATCCCGGAGGCGCATCCATATATACTTCTTCCTTCAATTCCTCATTGACGATGACATTCTTTATATCTAACTGTTGTAAGAGCCCGTCAAGATCAGCTGCAAGCGACAAAAGTACTTTTATTGGTTAGTTTGCAACTGGAGTAAATGTCTCAATATAATCAATGTTGTATGACTACGTTACTCTCTTATCAATTAATCTAGCCATGTGTTGTTCTAAAGAAACAACAGAATTGTACTTAGTTGTAAAAACCCGTTTGCATCTGACGGTTATCTCCTCTAGTAAGATCAACCATTTTTCAAGAGCTTTCATCTCCTCGAAAACAGCCTCCATCCACTTAGAGACTTTTAGAGCATCCTACACAGTTCTAGGGATCTCCATATGCGATAGTTGTGAGGCAAAAAGACGCAAGGTGGGGGCAGAGATGACTTTCTTTTGCGTGCAACACAAAAGAAGATCCTCTTGAACGTTTGTTGCACAGTTCTGGGACAATTTTATTCTTCTAGGAAAATCTTGTATCACCTACTGGGCAAGGATGAGGACTCCACCTTCATCCTCATCTCCCTTGCTTATTTATAGGCTCAAAAATCAGTCGTATTGATGACAAAATTAATTAAAATAATAATAATAACAATAAATTGAATTTTGCAATAGTTCTCTTATTCTTCTGTCTTCCGCCTTATGGCCTTCCAACTATTGCCTTATGGACCTTCACGTTCTTCATTCCGAATTCATAAAAAAATTATTTCAATTCATTTAAAAATAAAAAAATAAAAAATTATTTCAGGTATTAAAGAAGAAAAAATCCCTCGTATTCTCTTCATTAATTATTACATGTTAAACATACTTAAATTACTTTTCAAACCAGTTACAGATATATATATATATATATATATATTTTGATTTGATTTAAAAAAAGTGCTCAATTCCGCTAATTCGCGTTCTAAATTCACGCTTCGCCTTCCTGCGTTTCGCGCTTCGCCTCCCCGCAATCCTGTCGGCATTCTGCCTGCCTGCTAGTCGAACGTTCTCAACTCCACCTTGGCAAACTGAAAAAAAAAATTTATATTTCGGCCTAAAGAATTCAAACCATGCTCCTCATGCACTGTAAGCCAAGGAAATTCAAGTGTGACCGCTAAGCCAAGGTTTGATTCCTAAAATATGTAAACATATTATATACATATACATGTATGTACATGTATACATATACTTGTATATATATATGATACATGTATGTACATGTATACATATACTTGTATATGTATATGTACATGTATACATATACAAGTATATGTATATGTATACATACATACATGTATATGTATATGTATACATACATACATGTATACATATACAGTATATGTATACATACATACATGTACATGTATATGTATACATACATACATGTATACATATACAGTATATGTATACATACATACATGTACATGTATACGTATACATACATACATGTATATATGTTTATTAATATGTATGTATATATATATATATATTATTTATAAATTAAAATAAAAAATGCTCCGGATATTAATATGTTTGGATGATGAAATCGGTTCCGCCCGAAAATAAAGAGACAATTGATATGCCATCCACAGATTTTCATTATCCGACATGAATCTTTTGGCATGTCACCAATCTTGAGATAATATTTTGAGCAAGAAATGTTCAAAAATTGAAACGTCTCGACAAGATGAATTTAACAAGTCTAAGATTGCTCAATTCTGACATTGTAAGACTCAAATATCCATTAAATGTCATCCGATAAGTGAAGTCTCTCTAGGTCATCCAATCAAAATAGTTCATATTACTGCATTAATTGCACCCATAACTATATAAATTGAGTCTCACCTTACTCATGAAAGGGGGCAGATCCAGCCTGAAAAAAACTGAAGCTTGAAGAGAGCTTGAGGCATGAGAAAAAGCTTGAAGTCTTGATAAGCTGAAGTCCAGCATCACTCTAGTCACCGTCAACCACCAACGACCATCAGTCGTTGATCACTGCCGACCAATAGTCGTTGATTGCTGCTGACCAACAGTCGTCGATTGTCGCCTACCACTAGTTGTCGACCGTCGCAGACCATCACTCGTAGGTCATCGTCGATTAGCATTGACTGTCGCTTACTTCTTACGATAAGTTTATCCGCGCACCAACTTTGTAGCTCAGACAATTGTGTAACATTTCTCACATATGAGATAAGGGACCGTACTTATAATCTTCATTTTATAGTAGATCTCTTCAGTTGGGCCAAGCTCCGTGTTTATTCTTTTAACGGATTTTTCACGTAAAAACTTATGGTGTCTTTGTTGATTGTTTCTCTCATCTGAGTGTGTGTTGACTTTTTGTGTAATGCTAAGACAAAAATCCATTACTCTACCCTTGAGAATCTTCTAGCACGCATCAATAATAATGGAAGCTAAGGATCTAACTACTCTTCCAATTTACTTGTGGACTCCATTCTTATTTATGAGTAAATTTAAAGGTAATAGATGGAAGAAACATAAAAAAAAAAGGTAAAAAGTAAGATTTTAGATCTTATGCTACAAATAAATTGCCCTTTAGTCAAGGAGAAGACTTAGTGTCGAGCTCACTAACATCTACAAAAGGCTAAGAGATCTCGTGAAGAAGAAAGTGAAAAAATGAATAAGGGACGAGAAGAAACTTTTGAAGTTCATAGACAAGAAACAACAAGTCGTCAATGCCTAACCGGTAAGGAAAAGATCAAAAAATAAACCTTTGATGGCAACTTTCAGTGACTTAAACTTGAGAATCTTACATGAGGATAATGAAAAGTTTCAGAACATGTATTTTTCTCATGCACTAAGATGAAGTTTTCACAATGGCAACGATAAGATAAACGATTTATCTCAATTCATTGGATTAGCTTGCATAACAATTTAAGATTTGAAAAAAAAAAATCTTCGAAAACAGATTCATCGTCTTTTAAATTCACAATTGATATTTTAAAGAATGAAAATGAATGAATCACTCATACATGGCAAGGACGAATTGCATGATATGATGAAGTCATATTCTATGATTGAAAGAAAATGTTTTTGTTAAGCTAAGATTGGCATTTGAACTAACTATTATTACATTAATTAGCAGTGCCACTCGTATTCATGCTGCACGATTAATAATGCACATCCAAGTTGCATACAACATCTATTTATTTGTATAGGAAGCATGATAAAAATCAAGATAGGTCGCTTATGCATGTCTGGCTCAAGATATAGAAATGTTTCATATGTTTTTGTCGGTTCAGGAAATTCATGAGCATCACTAGTCTTCACAAATTTGGACCTCAAAGGCATTGCAATAGATTGATCCTCAATTGAACTTGTTTCAAATGCTATTATACCAAATTAGTTCGGAAATATAAAGTCAATACTTTTATGTATTCATAGAAGACCAATAAATGATTGATTATAATTAAAGAGAATTCCAGATGCACTCCAAAAGCCAAGATTTGAAGATTATGGTATAAGGTAAATTTTTTATAAATTCTCATGACCTCCTTAATCCTGAAAGGGTCCTTACATTAACTTAAAATTAGCAAACATGATTACATATATTATGATTTTTAGTGATTCACTTTTGTACATTTTAGTTAATGTCATATTTGGATTATAGCAAGTATCACTTCTTATGTTGCGAAATTGGTTTGATTCATGCTAAAGAATTCTTGAGCTATCCAATGCACCATGCATAAGGTATTTTATTAGTCTATGTTTAATCCTCATGTACACTGTATATGAGTAAAAATTATGCATGAGAATATGTTTTAGTTTTTGAAAGGATCAAATGAATAGCTTGTGGTGTAATCAAGCTGAACTAATTTGGTTTTCCCCATGAGCCCCTCTAATCAGCATGGCAAAGATGATGCTGAATGTATACCTCAAATAACTAAAATTATGCATGAGAATATGGTTTAGTTTTTGGAAGGATCAAATGACTTGCTTATGGTGTAACCAAGCTAAACTAATCTGGTTTTTCCCATGAGCTCCTCTAATCAGCATGGCAAAGATGATGCTAAATGTAAAATTTAAATGAGTAAAATTATGCATGAGAATACGGTTTAGTTTTTGGAAGGACCAAATGAATTGCTTATGGAGTAACCAAGCTAAACCAATCTGGTTTTCCCACTAGCCCCTCTAATCAGCATGGCAAAGATGATGCTAAATGTCATCCAATTATAATAACACTATTTAGAAACATGCTAGGATCCTAAGCTATGCACACTTTAGTTGTAGTTAGTTCAATGTTAGATTGTAGCCGCCAATGTCACGTCTTACATATTAAATTCAATATATATCATTCGAATCATGATGGCCTTCTCGTGTAAGGTAAGTAGATGCATGATGTTAGTGGCAGTCTATCTCCGTGTGATTTCAAATAAGAGTGGCACACTTATGTTTATGTTCATGAGTTTGTCCTTGTTGTGGAAATGTTGATTTGTCAGCACCAAATAAGATAAAAACATTAACAGATGATGACAAAATTTTATCGGTAATATATGATGGTTTGACTTAGCATTTGGCAGATAAGGATTCAAAAATCTATCCATGCAGATGATGAACCTGGCGATCATATTCTCCCTGGACCAAATCAAGATTCGTTGGACGAGCATAATTAACAAATGATCCACCAGTAAATTTCTGAATCAGACCAACTTCGACAATATAGTTTCTGAATCAATTATACTTGAGGATTAACTATAATAATATTCACCAATAAAGGTTTGTTACGCATCAGATGAGAAATGCAACCTGGAACAGGCCCCAGGTTTGGAGGGCCGACTTGAGCCGGAGGAGCTCCTCGCCACCATCCGGCTCGGATAGGCGGTGGAGGTCGATGATTGGAACGCTGGAGGCGGGCGGCGAAGAACCGATGGGACGATTCTCCTCTCTCTGAACAAACTGGGGTGTTATCTGACCGCCGCTCTTAGCCAGCTCTTGGACCAGCTTCCCTTCGAACACTGCCGTAGCTTCCATTATGATTCGTTGAGAGGAGGAGCTCGGGGTTTTCTTCTTCCTTGTCAGCTGCTTCTCTTCTGAGTTATCACCTATGATTAGTCGTGTCAGTGTGAGACAAGCCCCTTCAACGATAAGGATGCGCGCATACGCGCCTGGACCATGTCTTGTTGGCTGCCAAACACTGAAAACAAATCGGATAAATTTCAGATAAAAGAAATTCAGTTCTCCTTTTTTTTTTAAATTTAATGTTATTTTGTGATTTAAATCCGAATTTATTAAATCTAATTATTTAATGAATTTAATAGGTTTAGTTTAGAAAAGCAATCAAAAAAATTATTGGATTTAAATGAATTTAATAATAATTGAATCAATTAACACCATTTGTATTTGATCAATCTGGATTTTCTAGATTTTGTAAATCCTATTTAATTTAAAAACTAGTTGCAGCCAAACATATCCTAAATAATATTAAAAAAAATACATGTTCAATTAATAAATTTAAATTAATTTTAAATAATATTTGTAACACTTATGTGTATATTTTATAGTTAAGTTTTAGAAAACAAATATTTTTTTAAAGGTTTGGCTTATTTGATCGTTATTTTCGCCCGATTTTTTCATATGGATGAATTCAAGCAGTTAGTTAATCGATCACTCGCATGGTCTAATATTTTTTGCTATCGACATCTTACTTTTTATGAGTTAATATTATTAAATTTGTTATTTACTCTTTTATATTATTCTTAACAATTTTCTTATTTAATATATGTGTGTGTGTGATATGCCGTCAACATATTTTTATCATCTATCGTGAATCTTAATATATATATATATATATATATTTTAAGTAATGAACATTTTAAATTCAAATTAGAGATCATCAATGGCTCTGATTTCTACAAATTTATAATCCAGCTAATAGAATTGATAAGATGAACCCGATGATACTAAAATTGGTTCGCCCTGAGTCCAATAAAGGTCGTATCAAGACATTAAAGCACTTTTTAATATTTTGAATCGTCAATTGGATGATCAAATGAACTCAACTTTGACATTATATTTAGAATGAGTGTCTCGATGAGATGAATCAATTTGTGTAAATTTGCTTAATTCCAATGTCATTATGGCTATTAAGTCATTAAAAATCTCATATAATCAAGGGGGATCAATATAGGTCGTCTGATCAGATTTCTGGGAAAGTTATTTACCAAATAACCAAATGCCTCCACCTTAGAGACTATAAATAAATACCCTCTTTTAATTTGAGATGAAGAGAGAAGAGAGGAACTCTATAGCCCATTTTGGACTAAAGACTCGGTAATAGCTTCAGGCTTTTGTACCAGCCAGCCATCACTAACCACTGCCTGCAGCTAGGGATGTCAAACGGCTCGTGTTAGGCTCAGAGAGGAACTCTATAGCCCATTTTGGACTAAAGACTCCGTGATAGCTTCAGGCTTTTGTACCAGCCAGCCATCACTAACCACTGCCTACAGCTAGGGATGTCAAACGGCTCATGTTAGGCTCATTAAGAAGCTTGTGTTCAGCTCGTTCGCTAAGTTAACGAGTCGAACACGAACAAAGGTGTTCGGCTCATTTTTTCTCGAAATAATTCTCATCAATTACATACACACACACACACACACGAAATACTACTCATCAATTATACATGATGAGTAGTATTTTTAAAAATTTTAATTGACCAAAAGGCTACAAAGATTTATAATTAATTTAAATTATTAATTAAGAAAATAGAATACAAATTATTAAATTAGATTCAAATGATGTTTTAATATAAACAATAAATATTAATATTGTCCTAACCCTTAGAATCTTATGGCTACGTGATTAGGGCTGTCAAAACAATTCTTTGTTCGTGAACAGCTTATATTTGACTAGCTAAGCAAATGAGTTGAACATGAACTCACTTTTTGAGCTCGAAATATAAACGAGCCGAACACGAGCCTCGGCTCACTCGTGTTCGGATCATTTACACCTCTACCTGTATCCCTTGTTTGCTAACGTCGTATCCTAAATATGGTTACAACATCCAGCTTCGTACTGAATACACTATAATAATTTCCTCTCAGGATAAGAGATCCTCTCAGGATAAGAGAAGTCATTATCAAGATAAGCCTTGTCCCCACCTTCACACGATAAAAATAAAATGTATTCTCTCATTGTTCTTGTGATAATCAATTGAATATATAAGACAATAAAAAAACTAAATGAATACTCAAATATAGACATACAAAAATTTTAATAAAATTATCTTGTTGAATTGAGCCCACCAGTAGAAGTGTTTTAATCGAGCCAACCTGTTTGAGTGGTTGAATCGCTCAAATATAGACATACAAAAATTTTAATAAAATTACCTTGTTGAATTGAGCCCACTAGTAGGTTTCAATCGAGCCAACCTGTTTGAGTGGTTTCATCCAGTCCACCTGCAAAAGTGGTTGAATCGAGCCCATTTACCAAAATGAATGATCCAATCATCCTCACCAGGGGTGCAAACGAACCAAACACAAACAAACATAGCTCGTGTTCGTATTTGGTTTGTTTGAAATTAAGTGTGTTTGAAATATGTTTGTGTTCAAAATTTTTCGTTATGTTAATGCTCGTGTTCGATTCAATATGTTTGTGTTCAAAATTTTTCGTTATGTTAATGTTCGTGTTCGATTCAATTTGTTTGAAATGTTCAAATTTTTTGAATTATTCGAATTGTTCAAAATCTTTCAAATTTATTTGTATTGTTTGAATTATTCGAATTATTAAAATGATAATAAATTTAATTATTAACCATCAAATAAAAAAAAGTACATAATATCACTCTATGAAAACAAATATATGATTTCTTCAATTATATTATTACAATTTCATGCTCTCGGGTAAAAAAGGCTATTTGTGTCTGTTTGGGCGCCTATGTGCTTGACATTGTGTCCAAGTGCCAAAAATAAGTGCTAGACTTCCCGAGGCCCGTGCTTAATGGTTTGGGAAGGCATTTGGGTGTGTTAGGGCTCGAGTCAACATCGGGGCGTCGGTTTAGCTCGAAACCCCCGATTTTCACTGGGAGTGTCCAACAGAGGATTTACTCGACCCGTAAGCTATGAGAGACTCCTTAAGAGTGAAGTATAGTCCCATTACTCCAGAACAAAGTATTCTAGTCCCCCGATTTTCACTGGGAGTGTCCAACAGAGGATTTTCTCAACCCGTAAGCTATGAGAAGTATAGTCCCATTACTCCAAAACAAAGTATTCTAGTTGGCAAATTGTCGAAGAAATAGATGTTGACAGTAGTTCTAAACTTCAACACGGGTAGGGTGTCCCAAACCCTAATTTTCCAGCAGCGCACATGACTAGTCATGACCATGGGAGGCTCGATATGGACGTGTGGTGACTTATAATCATCAAATTAGGCACCTAACACATCTCACATACTTAACGAACCTCCGTGACAACAAATTTTCCCGGGTAAGGCTAAATCGCCGCTAATCCTAGGTTCTTGCCCCGAACAAGTCCTATGAAGACCCCGGTGGGTGCCTTGAGCAACCATATGCTACGGACAAACCATAGACCATTTTGAGTTATGCAGTTAAACACCCTACACTTGTGATATCCAACAAATGATGCCAATAAAGAACCCCAACACTAATATTTCTAATTTAATATATTCCTATATGAGCTAGTAAGATGATCTCATTGAGATTAAAAAATCAAAACAACCTTTCTAATTTAATATATTCCTGTATGAACTAGTTAGATGATTGCATTAAGATTTTTTTTGTGCAGATTGTAAATTCTCAGGTAAGAATACTCCCACCTTGCCCACAATTTTGTCAGTTTACTCTATGTATTCCTCTAAAACTCTTTTACAATGTTCAAATCATGTTAGATTTTGGGCTGACCGTCGGCCAGTACACAAGCTTAACAAAAATTGAAGCAAACTAAACAATCATTCCATAAGCATAACTATCAACCAAATGAATTAAGAGGAAATAATCAAAGGTAAATCATAAACTCATAGCCATTAAATTAGTTATGCTTTTGCTAAAGAAAATACAAGCACTCGATACAATTATTCTAAATTTTATATTACAATACAAGAAAATCGAAGACAATAAATTTGATTTGAGAACTTTCTCCTACTAAACTCTCCTCCTTCTACCATTATATTTTCTTATGCGGTCTTCTCCATAGCTCATGTAAATTTCTCACTTTGTCTTCATATCTTAACCACTCAAAAACTTACCAATATATCTTCAAACAACCAAAACTTTTACTCATTGTCATCATAGTTTGTAATGCTATCTTTATAGTGTCTGGATAACGACACCGTGCTCTCTATCAACGCTCACATGCTATGCCTTCTATCTTTACGCTCTTCTCCTACAAATTGTAGCACAACGTGTTAAGATAGTGCCTAAGCACTTAATTATCTATCTTCAAACTCCTTTTTACTACAAATTTTCAATGTTGGAATGCTCTAAAGTATCATCATATGGTTGCATTCTCAATTCAAAAAAAGCCTTTTGAACTTCAATTGGACAATTTAGCTAACTATAAGATCGCGTTTTGTCCCAACTGTAATGTATAGTTTGTAATTCTGGTTCAAAAAATGGGGTTGCACGTTAAAAACAGACACCTTCGGCCCGCGGGCTATTTTGTGGACTCTCGCAGTCTGTGAGATGGCCCATTATGAGGTGAGCTTAGAGGACATGTAATATCGGGCCATACAAAAATATGAGGCGACAAAAAAAGGTTTATCATGATATGTGGAATGATTTTGCGACATGTTATATTATTTTTTTTATCATTTTCAAATATTACGTCGTACACTTTCGAAATGTTTAAAACATGTTATGATACACTAAGGGTCTGTTTGGCGTTGTGGTTTCCCTGCTTAGTGGCACCGCACCGTTGGATTTCATTATTTGGGGCAGAGGCTCCTCTGCGGCGGGACGAGAATCGACTCCAATGCGGAACGTGTATAGTACCCCTGTGGCCTGACTTCGACACAGCTTTTTACCATAATACACTACCCGAAACATTTTCGCTCACGAAATAGGTGAAGCTGCGATCAAAGATCACCTCTCCTGCTCATCTCCAACTTCTTCCTCCTCTTCTTCGACGTGTGCTCACGATACTCATCAGCTTCCTCCTCTTCTCACGAGCACCTCACGCTTCGTATGTCTTATTTCTGACCAAATTTCTCTTCTAACTGATAATATATATATATATATATATGGCTTAACGAACGAGCCGAACACGAGCTGCTTAACGAGCCGAACACGAGCTGTTCACGAACAACGAGCCAAATTGACAGCCCTACCCAGCACCACATACATAACTCTTTTGCATTGCAATTTGTAAAATTTGATAGATCGCGAATAGTTGCTGGCCTATTTGCTTCAGGATCTATTATTTACAATAATCCTTTTGTTGAGATGGAAGTGTATATGGGCTTATCACTTCTTTGTATAAGTGCAGAATGTCATTTGGTTAAGCAAGTGCTGGAAGTGCAAAATGTCTTTCCTGTATTTCCTCTTGGTCTTATCGGATTATCACTTCTTTGTATTTTAGAAATGAGAAATATCATTCATCCTTGATGACATCCTTGATGAACTTGTTGGTTAAGCAAGTGCTGGAAGTGTTGTGGCTGATGAACTTGTTTGCTTCTTCATGAAAAATATATAAATTCCTTAATGGAAAATATATAAATAATTTGTAAATTCCTTAATGGGAAACATATAAATAATTTGAGAACAGGAACGAAATGAATTTTTGCTTCTGAAGTTTAAAAAATGTGATTGTTACAGTCTTATTTTAAACATGTTTATAAAACATGAATAAGATGATCATTTTTTAAAAAATAGCTGCTCCACAGTTGTTTCCACGCAGCTGCTCGAAACAGACAGTTAGTTTCTGCACAATAGCTTTTTGGGATAGCACAGCTGCAGCAGAAAAACTGAAAAGCTGAGAGCTGAAACTGTGCCAAATAGAGCCGAAATTCTCATAAACTAAAAAAAAGTGATGATTTGAGATTTCTATAATTTTTAATCGCAGGTGATAATATTCATTTCATGAAAACGAGGTGGCCCGGCCCGGCCAGGACCCTAGGTTTCTTTTGCGGCTCCGGCATAATCGATTGCGAAACGAAACAGGTTTTCATGGTGGACTTGTCTTCTCCGTCCGAGCTGGTCAGGGGAGCGGCTAACTAGAGATTAGGATTCTGCCGGCTCCATTATTTTTGCTCTTCGCCGGACGGCGGTATAAGACGGGGTTACGAGAGTGGCGTGGAAGAGGTGGATGGTTATGGGAGCCACGGCCTCCAAACTCGAAAAGGCACTCGGAGACCAGTTTCCCGAAGGCGAGAGATACTTTGGACTTGAGAATTTCGGCAATACTTGCTACTGCAATAGCGTGCTGCAGGTATTTTCCTATTTTACAGTACTGGTTTTGGAGTTTGATTTGACTTGGCTTGAGATGCGATCGAAATAGTTTGAGATTGTTGAGGCTTTTATTTAAGTTTTTGGATAATTCGGAGTAGTTTTTGATTGGATATGCTTATTGCTAAGGATAGATGGATAATTTGGAGTGGCTTAGCTTTTGATGGATCCTTTTGTACATGATGCTGTGATTTGATGCTGATGGTTGAAGTTTGCAGCCCAACTCACTGTCGTTACCTTTTTTTCTGTTCAGTTATTTATCATCAGTATTGGTGCTTTTTTTGGCTAATGCTCTGAGATATGGATGTCATCGTCCCGTGTAAAGTTCTTTTTCCTGTTTATGGTAATGGAGATAATATGTTATTTTTTTCTTCGACGTTTGTATATGTTTTAGCCAATCAAAAAACAGCTTCAATGGAAAGTTGCATAAAGTGAATTTGAAATTTTATAGATGGGCTTGGATGCTAGGATGCGCTTTTTAGTTTTGGGGTGCTGCTACTTGGAGTGAAGGATATTCTCCTTAATATTCTATTGATGTAACATGCCTTTTACTTGTTCCTTGGACTATTATGATTTGGAACCCGCCAATTTAGACTATAAGTCTAGCCTTTTCAATGCATGGAACTACAATGAAAAGGAAGATTGATGTAAAGTTCTGGATCTTGCCAATCGAGTATGAATTATATTCAAGGAGGGACTGTAAATTAACCTACCCAAGATAAATTGTCTGGCAAAAAACTAACAAGAGAGGCTCATCACCTTGTAGCCATTAGGTTTAGAACTTAAGGAACAAAATAATTAGGTTGGCCAAGAGGGTCTAGGTGAGGTTTTGATGAAACTTTGAACCTAGCATGGCAAGGATTGCCTGTAAAAAAATTAGTGTTTAGGTTAGCAATAAATGGCCTGCTCCTCCTTTGCTTTTCTCTTCTTATGCAGTTTTTCCTCCTCCTCCCTTTCTTCCTTTAAGCTCCCTTCCTTTTCCTTGCTCCTATTTATAGATTTGAGATTTTGGAGATTGGAGAGAGGATGTGGCTCAATTTTTTAAGGAAATAAATAGATCAAGAGATGGACTTAATTTGAGGGAGAGAAAGGGAAAGTTTGGACATTTAAATGAGATGAAATAATTAACTTCACTTTATGGATTGATTCAAAAAGTATGCACAAGAGGGCTATTTATAGTCATTAAATTATAAGTTTATCTAGACTGAAAATAAGCTATGAAATAAGCTCAAGTATTTATAAATTTAATCCAGATCATGTTAGAGAAGATATTTGATATGATAAATCCTTTTTCTAAATGATTATCACAATTTGTTTTTTAAGTTGAAAGAAATTATCTAAAGGGAATAATGAAATATTTTATAAAATTATCCTTGAAAGAGTAGCCAACGATGAGAAAAAAGGGAAGGATTTGGTGGAGTGCTAATTTGGATATCACCTTTTGGTATGTCCATCTTTCACTCTTTTGGTCATTCCACCACCTTGGTTTGGAATTTGAGTTTTACTCTTTTGTTTTTAGACCCATCTTTCATCAACTGCAATTCATACTCTGACTTTCTGCTTAGATTTGTACTTGATTATATAACCTTTTTTTTTGGATAATTTGAATTTTTTTGAATCCTTCTATATCATCACTCTTAGTTAGAATTTTGTCGTTAGAAGTCTACTTGATCAGGTCTCCTCTCTTTGCTCCTATTTGCTTTTGCAAATGTCTATACTCATATATTGGATGTATGTTCCAAGTTGATTTGGATTTATATGTTTCCTCTTTTTACCTTGCATAGTTTTTTACAATAACAACAACAACAACAAGCCTTATCCTATTAAACGAGGTTAGCTACTTCAATTCCTTTTCTCCATTGTGTTCTATTGAATATCATATTTTTATTTAATTATAATAAATTAGGATCATTTTTTGTACAACATGCCCAAGTCTTTTTAGGTCTATACCTACATTTCTTAATATAAGTCAAATCTAAAGCATCTACTCACCTAACATGCTCATCAAGCAGTCATTGTTTAATGCGACCAACCCATCTAAGGCGACTCTCTAATCTTGTATGCAACTGGAGCTACTCCAATTGTTTCACAAATACATTTATTTTGCCTTTTGTCTCTAAGTGTAAAGCCTCTCATCCACCATGAGCTTTCTCATCTCAACAACACTTAATTTTATGCTTTTGTTTTAAAAGCATTTTGCACCATAAAGCATTGCAGGTCCCACCATCATCTTATAATGCCCTTTAAGTCTAAGCGTTACTTTTCTATCATAGTATAGGCCTGTTGCATCCCCCAACTTGAATTCTACTAATAACTTCCCCATATATATCACCATCACTTTGAACTATAAATAGATATATCTAAAATGTTTACTCCTTTTAATTAATTGATCACCCATTGTTACAACCCCACCATTAGATCTACTATTACTAAAATTACATTTAATGCATTCAATTTTATATCTACTCAAACAAAAGCCTTTAAACTCTAAAGTTGACCTCCATAATTCAAGTTTTTTCTGAACTCTCTTTATACTCTCATCTGCAAGAAGGATATCATGAACAAAAAGCATACGCCAAAGTACATCCTTCTTTAAATTACCACCAAGAACATCCATAATGAAAGAAAAAAGATACAAGCTTAAAGTCAATTCTTGCTATAATCTAATTCAAATAGGAAAATACTTGGTCAATCCTGCTTGTGTTCTAATATACTTATTTTTAATGACTTGAATATAAGTAATATCAACATGTTTCTTTTCAAGAACTTTTCAAAGTTCTTGTCTTGGAATGACATCATAAGCTTTTTCTAAATCAACAAAAATCATATGTAAATCCTCCATACTCTCTTTATACTTCTGCATCAAACCTCTTAATAAATGCATAACTTCCATAGTAGGCTTGCCTGAGATGAATCCAAACTGATTTTGAGGAATTTTCGTATCAAGTAGTTGCCTACGCTCAATTACTCTCCCTCATACCTTTAATGTATGACAAATTATCTTAATTCCCTTATAATTTGCAACTCTTGTGCATCCCCTTTATTATTAAAAATAAGAATCAATAAACTCGTTCTCCACTCATCAAATATGTATTTAGTTTTTAAAATAATATTAAAGGGTTTAGCATGCCAAAAAAAATATCAGACTCCTAAGCAATTTTAAACTTCTACTGAAATACTACCAAGTCATTGTATTTATTTATAATTCATTTTCTTTAAAGTATCATCAACTTTTGTTTTACTAATGTGACGGTGGAAATAAAAAAAAATGTTATTATTTATGATATTTAAATTATTAAAGCCGATCATATTTTAACAATCAATTAAAAAGTTTATCAAAATATCACATTGACCTATGCAAAATATTTTCATCTAAAAAAATGTTTTTTAATTTTTATTCTTAATATACTTTATTTGAACTAAATCTTTACTTTTCTTGGCTAGTTTATACATGTATCTTTTACCCTATTTAGTATATATTCTATTATAAAGATCATTAAAAATAGAATTCTTAAAATCATAAATTGTTCTCTTAGACTCTCTATAACTACCTTATATTTTTATCAATTCTCCAAGCTTTTACATTTAAAATATTTTTATAATAAAATTTATTATTTATTTATTTTTTCTTGCACATTATTATTCCACCACCAACTACTTTTATTGATAAGTATTTTTTCTTTTGAATCTCAAGCACATATTTTATAACTTGCTTAGTAGTACTTGTTATTTTATGATACATAGTATTAGTTTCTTCATGAACATTTCAAATCTTAAGATCTTAAAGTTTATTCATAAAATTATTTTTTTTGTCTTTTAAGTGCCTCAATTTAACTCTATAGTCATATTTTTTGTATTTTTCACTTTCCAATCATTCATTTTAAAATTCAAAACCAATAATCGATATTAGATACTTAAATTTTCTCTTAGAATAACGTTACAATCCTTACAATCTCGACGTACTATTTTCGCATAAAAATAATCAATTTATGTTTTATTAGATATATTCTTATATGCAATAATATGTTTATCTATTTTCTTAAATAATGTTTTTGCAATAAAATCACAAGCTAAAGTTAAAGCAAAATCTAATATGACTTTACTTCATTAGTTACTCCAAAATCATAACCATCATGAATACTTCTAAAATTTTCTAGCAAACTGCCTACATGCTTATTTAAATCTTCTCCAATAAAAATTATTTCCTTAGAATGTCTTCTTTGCATTAATTTTTGTATGTCATTTCAAAATTTGTCTTTTGAACATATATACAAACTTACTTGGGGAGCATAAATATTCATTATATTAAAAAATTTAGTATCAACAACAATCTTTAGAGCTATAATTTTGTCTCAAATTTTATTAATTTTTACAATATTATCTTTCAAACTCTTACATGTGCACTGTTTCTAGTATGTCTCCTACCTGAATTCCAAAGTTTAAAACTTAAACTATTAATCATCTTAACATTTTCTCCAACTCATTTAGTTTTTTGAATGCTTAAGATATTTATCTTCTTATGAATCATAATTTATACTAATTTTATTACTTTACATGTGAGAATACTTATATTCCAAAGTTTTATTATAATATTATTTTTATGGACTAAGCATCTGTCCATAATGTGGGAACTTTTGCTTATTTAACACTGCATCTGTGAGCAGGTACAGTGGCCTTTGCACTTTTGTCATTGTATTTAGGTCATACAGTGTGCCACTTCTAGGGATGCCCTTGCATTGACACAATGATTTATAAGATTCATTTTAATGAAAAAATTTTTATGCTAGCTATCGATAACCTAATGTAACCCTTAACTTTTTCCATCCGGGCTTGGGATCCGGTAACGACAGTAGGGTGTTTTTCACTTGTTGCAACTTTTACATTGTATTTTGGAAAGTTTGTTTCTCTCTCTTTTAGATTTCTTTAGGCAACTTGTAGAAAATTGCCTGCCTGTTCATCTCTGATAGATTCTAGCACAGCCGTTCTAGAAAGTTTACATAATGATTCACATAATGATTCTACGGTCTCTTGCACATCCGGTATTGGACTAGGAAATTGTTTGCTTATACATAACTCATGTAATCGTAAGCAGTGGAAAGAATACTTGTAAGAAGAGATCTTTTACTTAATTGTGTAAGTCAATAATTTTTGTGACCTTCTATAGTACATTCTATATCTTTTTTCTAAGAGTTCCTTAAGAATAATGTGACATACTTCCATTGGTACTACCTCACAAGCTGCTTCATCCATGAAAAATTTAATAATGGAACATCTTAGGGTACATTGCTATGTAACTTGACATTACGGTTCTTTGTTGATTCAACTCATGAGATGGGCTTGGGGTGCGGTTGGTCTCTAGTCCAAGCTTATGCACCAAATTTTCTTAGATCATTTTCATTCGCCTTATTGGGTAAAAAATGGCTGTCTTCATAGTTTGTTGACACACATCAGTTGGAAGTGCTTCTTTTGGATTTGCTCCATCTTCTGTTTTGGCCGTTAAAGCAATATTTTGGTCTGAGTATTGTTCCCTCATCCTCAATGAATTCTGAAGCAATTATCATTGCTTTCGTCTTATTTCTTGTATCATTCTTTGCATGCGGTTCCCAATAATTCTAGTTGTTGTGCGGCTTGAACTTGCAACGGGAATAATATGGTCGATCATCAGTTTTCTAATCAGCTGTTGGCTCATTGACTTCCTCATGTGTTTTTGCATGGTTCCTTTTTATCTATACTCAGCCATTTCTCTTTCTCAATTGCAGTGGCACTGCAGCTGAACTCCGTAATACTATAGACTAGAAAGAGTTTTAAATCTTGTTGAAGTCCGTCATACAAACCCACTATATATTTATTAAAAGATGACAGATTTTGTAATGAAATTTATGCGGCATAGGTTGGATTTCAGAATTTTCTTATGTATTGCTTATACTTTTGTTTTAGTTATTGCCATCAGGTTCATTGGTTTTCCTCATGCACAGTGGGGTAGAACTGAAAACCTGAGGAGGCTTTCGAATTTTGACCATAACATTTTTATCAAGTCTTAGTTCTTGACCTTGGTGTTTTACCTTATGAAAGCATTTGGGGACATTTTCAATCTGGCAAAAGATATTTTCTATACAATTTTACATTGTTAAACTAGAAGTGGAATTGAAATGCTTCTATTAATTTTTTTACCTTATTCCCAGCCACTTCTTCATTGTAAGAATGTAGCTAAAGGTATTCCCAACTTTAAATGTAGGTTGGCTTAGGTTCATGTTCTTCCTCATCTTTATATACTTTTTCCCAGGCATTTCCATCGTCATCTAGAAACATGAAAGCTTTATTGTGGACGATGGTGGCAACTGCTTCTTTATTGAGAAACTATAGTTAGGAGAGTAATTTTATCAATGAGATTGGTCATATTTCTCTCTAATTTTTCAAGTTTACTGTACATTCCCTTGAAGGCTAGAATAGCGTTTTAATTTTGTGTAGGTGGCAGCTTAATTATTTGGTTTTTGTTTAAGCTTCGCGCCGACTCCTCATTTGTTTAATTTTGATGTCCTATTTTTTTCAATTTTATATGTTTGTGTCAATTCAACTTTGGAATTGGAATTTGAGTTGTTTTATTGTAAATTTCGTATTTTGAAAGTTCTTTTAGTTTTTTTATGTTTAAATTTATGATTATATTTTCTTTTTATGAAATATTAAAAATGGCTTATGCACATGACTCCCAGGGTACACTTTACCTCATGATAAGACCTCTAATTTTTAAAACATGTCTACATGCATGATATTTGTGTTTCTAAGCTTCAGTGAATTCTATATTTAGGATTGCATTACGTTACTTGACCTTTTCAGTGGTGAAATTGTGCAGGCGCTTTATTTTTGCATTCCTTTCAGAGAACAATTACTGGAGTATTATTCAAATAACAAAAACGTAGGTGAAGCTGATGAAAATCTGTTAACATGCCTGGCAGATCTTTTCAATCAGGTAAATGCAGAATTTCAGTTCTATCTCTCCTTTCCCCTCCAACCCTCTCTCTCTCAAGTATACCCATGTGCACACACACACTTGCTTGCACAAGCTTACAGAAACATGTTCCCAGCTACATTTTGGGTTACTTCTTCCCTCCTCATCTGCAAAAACTTCTAGAGTTGTGCCAAAACTTTTTAGCGGCATTTACACACCACCAATTCCTATGTCTTTACATATCTAACACCTCTACTTTAAGTTTTACAATAATACCTTCCAAATCTTTCCTATTACATAAAACATACAAATCTACCACTTTAACTTTCTAAGTGAAATACATCTTTTCATGCATAGGCAAGGTGTCATGTATGTAAAAATTGAAGTTTAGTTGTTAGATATATAATTACATAGGAATTGAGTCGTATGCATGTAAATATTTCAGCTTTTTAATGAGGTAAATGCAAAGGGTCTCCTTTGTTTCTTTATCTCTGGTTCTCTCTCGCTCCCTGTCATACATCGATGCACTCCAACCCAGCTAGTCAGTAGTCAGCTTTCCTTTAATTTAAACACTTTCACTTTATTCCCCTTGTTTAAACTATGTATCTTTTGTTTACATAACATAAAGCTTATAAATGTCATTGTTAGCCAATTTTGGGCAAAAGTTCTCATGTGGAGCCTGGAAAATCTTAATATGAGACAAATTATTAAAATGTTATTATGCATCATAAGGAATACCAATAGTGACCTATAATTAATTCCTATAATGATATGATGAAAAAACTTACAAGTTGATGAGCTTTTATAGACTAATAACCACTTTAAAGAATAGTAACTAAAATGGATATAAATAATTTTGTTAAATTATGCACATTTAGGATTGACTAGATTGTTGGAGTTCTATATTTTAAGTTTCTTTCAAGACATTTTTAGTTAACAAACACCAATATTGATGCTTAGCTCTCATCATGAAGCTCATTTTATTAATTTCTGTGCTACTAAACCAATAATTTAAATTAAAATTGATATTAGTTGGATTGTTCATTATAGGAATAATATCAAATAGTTCATCTAGATTAATATTTTAAAATTCTCTTTTGATTCTAACTACAATCGTTAATTTCTATCAATGCTCTGAATTTCATTCAAATGTATTTCCATATTCATGAATATGGTCTAATTTAAGGAAAATCCACTTGGATATAGATTTTTACTTAAATTGGATCATATTTTACATCTAATACATTTACTAATGAATATTTTTGAACTACCATATTTCCATTTGAATCTTCTTCAACCAAACGTAGTTGTTATGTTAATTTGTTGCAAACCTAAAAGGAGATGACATTACATGCTTAGTAAGCTCAGTTAGAATTATTATAATATATGTCATTGTTTTGTTTGTGGATATATATATATATATATATATATATATATATAGCTCCTCGTTCCCAGGTTAGTTTGTAGGGCATCCGCTTCGGCGGTGTAAGTCCCATCTGGTTTGGTGGGGTTCGAATCCCGCCTCTGACGACTGTTGCCTTAAGGAGAGGGGTACTTGAATATATAGGCTCATGGGTTGCCCCCAGAGTTGACAGGGATTGAGTGAATAGGGTGGGTTCGGGACCTTACGTTTCGACACATTCTTTATAAAAAAAAGTAAAAAAAAATATATATATATATATATATAATATTTCAAGTAAGATTTTTAGTGTATTATGTAGCTTAATTCATCATTAATTTTTGGCATGGCTTTAGACCTTTTGAGAAAATAAATAGTAGAAGCATAATAGTTTAAAGGCAAATAATATTTAATTACAGGACCTGTAAACCTTGCATAGTAAGCAAACACGTCATATTTACATTTTTTATAATTCTTAAATTATTTCATGTAGTTGATTCCTCTTAATTATAAGTTTTGCGAAGGGCATAGTTATAGTGGGGGCAGTGGGAACCCATGCCCCCATGACCCGGCCCGCTAAAATTATTCTATTTTTTAACCCTAACAACTAACCAAGGGGGCAATTGGACAGCTTGTGGTGGCCTGGGGCAAAGTAGCACGAGGGAGGAGCTGTCGTGCTTTAAGAGGCTTATCAAAGCATTCGGCCCCTACTATTGGCGTATTTTATTTCTTTTTAAGTAGAGTAAAATAACAAAGCTTAGACATGAAAAAAAAAAGAACAGAAAGGCCAATGTCATACTCATCTCTTTATATGAAATGTAAATACAATTCAAATTAATAAGATTGATTTTTATAATATTATATTACCAATAAATCATAAATATATTTATGTATAGTATTTTAGGGAATACATAAGCTCCCCAAAAAAATTTTGAAAGAGGACAAAAACTCAAATTCAATTAATAACACACACACACACACACATAAACACAAAGATTCAAAGTGGGAAATTGTAGTTAATGCTCTTCTTTGTCATTTTTTTATCAGCTCATAATTATTTTTTTATCTTAAAGTTGTAATGAAAAATTTTTAAAACAGTTAAATAACAGCTCCAATCCCATACTAAAATGATTGAGAGTTTTTTTGCAACCTTTGGTTTGTGCCCATATTAGCTCATAAGTTGTTTCATTTCATATCAACCAGTGATTATTTGGCTCTAATTCTTTCGCCCGAGTGACTTGAACATGTCCTACTTCTCTCTCTCTCTCTCTCTCTCTCTCTATATATATATATATATATAATCATAAGCTTTGATATCAAATTGTTGAAGGCTGATTTAATGTATAACCAAAAAGATTCAGTACATATAGATAACACAAAGGAATTTATGTTTCAAAGATTGAATGCTATAAGCATGCAAGAACTTATATTTTTAAAGTGCAAACCAGTAAATATGAGAATAAAAACGCAAACGACAATGCAATAATCTAATAAATTCAAAACAATTGATGAAAAACTGAGCCACATAAAATTAACGAGCAATTGAAATTTATTTGTTGCTGTTACAATCTCAATTTTATCAAATTTGAACACTAACAAGCTGATAACAAAATTATAAAATAACTTAGGTTAAGAAAATAATTTATTAAAGCAGAAGGAATTTAAGTGTCACACTAATATAAGGAGATGGCTTTCATATATGCGTTTGTACCACACTAAAAAAAACACACACATTCAACTTGTATTCACAGGATTAAAACTTGAATAAGAATTTTTATTTAAGCTATGTGCCTCAGGTTATCCGTTTATAATTTCTCATTTGTAGGTTAATGCATATAGTTGACACAAGATTAGCCCAGTTAGATTCTAATCAATTTGAAACTCAATTCGTAGACCTAAGCCCTTTCTTGTGAAAATGAAACAGAAACCGAGAAAACGAAACAAAACATAACCAAAGATAACAACTAGAAACATCAAGCATAACCAAATCACTAATTGTTTTAATTAGCTATAGGTGTATGTTGAGGCAATAAAAACTACAATGCAAGAAAGCCTCTAGAACACAATCTCAAGGAAGCCACTATAATATTGTGGCTACAGTACCACAAGTACCATATTACATCAATATGTGTTTTTGTTCAGATGAATCAATAATCGCAACATGGAAAAACAAGACCTAACAAGGAGAGTGGTCAACTCAATAAAAAGTTATTTTGATCAATATAACTGGTAATAAAATTTAAGTTGAAGACCCAGAAGGGCATGCGGAAGTTGGTTAGGTTGAAGATCAGTACATTATTAAATTTAAGTTAAGCCACTTTAATAAATGTATTTTGTTTATAAAAAAATAGTTGATTTACATAAAGCAACTTAATTACTTCATTTTTGTTTAATTTTCTAATAACTAAGCTTATTGTATTTGATAAATTTGTTATTCTTGTGTTACAAAATAAAGTGATGATACTTGCCTTTTTTTCTTAATAGCATTTTATATGGATGCAGCTCTTAATACAGTAAGAAGAGGAAATCAATTATGAAAAGAATGCAGCATTTTTTCTTTGGTCAACTTTTTTATGGAATTATTTTCACATCATAATGCAACCTTATTTTGTCTATCCTATTTTCATGATGCAATTTTATTCTTGCCAACAAACTGCTTTTCTATGTCAATTCTTATAGATTATTGGTTTCAGATAATTCAAATGTGTAAAATTAAAAAGATAAATTAAGTAATGCTTATAAGAGGAATGAGAGTGATATCAATTAGTGATAATTGAGTTGAAAATATATTTAAATTATTTGGACATGGACAATGAAAGTTAGCAATGCACACATTAGATGAGTTGATAGTCTAGTTTAGGAAGGCTAGGAAACAGGGGACAGAACTAAGGTAAACTTAAAAGTTCATTTTTTATACAAAGAATAGGTACAAATTGTTTAAGCTCTCAACAAGAATGATGGAGCAATGAGGATTCATAAAGTGGAACACAAATAGTTATGATAAGTTCGATGATCATGATGATGATATTTCAATTAATAAAACTTACAATATCTATCATTTGATTTTTTTTTCGTTTTAATGGTTTATTATTGCATAATATCTGCTAACTCCTCAAATTTCAAAACAAGCTTTTTCTCGAATGTATAGTGACTTACTGGGCTTTACAGTTCTCATTTAGAATGTTGTTCTAGCAGTTAGAGAATTAATTTTGAAGCTTAGGCCTGACATGGTATACATGCACAAAAAATATGTGCAGGGAATGGGACAACTCTTCAAAGTAGGATGTATAAATATGTAAGAATAAGTCCTCTAACATATATTTATGCATGTATTTGGAAGAGGTCAGCAATGCGTATTCATTTATTTAAGTGTATGCATGTATGTGCACAAATTCTTGTACTAGTATATATCGTGTTTGTAAATTGATAAATTTGTATATCCTTGCATAACTACAAATACTTATGTCCATTCCCATTCAACCATATAATGCTTATGCAAAATTGAAAATAGGAACTTATTTATGGTGATTTAGATTTCTTTTGGTTGGATTTTTCTCTGAATATTATGTACGATGAAGTTGACATTAGGTATTTTTATTTGAAAATTCAATTTTATGTACTTTTCTACGGTGATTAATACTTGTGCTGTTCAATTTACAGATCAATTCATCAAAAAAGAAGACTGGTGTGATCGCCCCAAAGCGGTTTGTGCAGAGAGTTAAAAAACAAAATGAACTTTTTCGCAGCTATATGCATCAGGTAATTTTTCTGGAGAGGTTTTCAATTTTTTTTCCTTGATATAATATTGTTTTAAGGCGTTTGATATCTGTAGATTTTGAGATGTCACTATCATATTATTTTATTGTATCATCGTGGGCTTGAACTGATTAATATGCCCATCCTCTTTCTATTGGAAATCTGTACCTCAATGTATAAGAGACGTGTATATATATATATATATATAGTGCGCTTGTCCATCATTTATATGGAACCAGTCAGGCTGGAGAAATTTCCCACAGAAGCAGGCTGATACCTTAAGCTAATTGCATTTTACTGCCAGGTCCTGTTGTTCAACAGCATAATGACATATCTTTCCTTGCAGAACTTTGTGAAGAAATCAAACCTTTATGGATTCTGTCGATCTGTTCTTATGTGCAAAAGCAGTCCCATATAATTTTTATCGCTATCACCAGAGTTGGTTTTCATTGGATTTGGATATTCTTTGGAATTCTTTGATGCAGAATTGATGAAATGTTCATATTCTTTTGTGGGTGTTCCCTATATTTACATGTGCCACATTCTAAGCTGAATTGGATGGCAATAAATTCCATTTTACTAAAACTCTCACCTCTAGAATCTGTTAGCTGGATGCATGGTCCATTTTAATGGCACAGTCTTAAGCGAGGTTATTGTTAGATTTATTTAAATTTTAACAAATCTTTCAATTATTTTGAATGATTAATTGATCGTGATATAAAATGAAACAAAATTTGTACTTCACATACAACCGTTTGTTCTCATCTTAGAAATTTGAAGCCTCTGGACCGAGTTGTCACAGTTATGGGGACTGAACCCAATTTATCTTGTCCTGTTCAGGATGCTCATGAGTTTTTGAATTTCTTGCTAAACGAGCTTGTCGACATTTTGGAGAAAGAGGGAAATGCTTCGACGGATTCTCCTGGAACCTCATCACAAGTAGAAAAGAATGTAAATGGGCCGGTTCATCCACAGGAGAATGGTGGTAAGAAAGAACCTCTCCTTACATGGGTCCATAAAAGTTTTCAGGTAAATAAACTTATCGGATTGTAATTGACTCCATTTTTTTTATGTATGGGCATTTACATGCACACCACTCAATTCCTAATAATTTTGCTTTTTTACATTTATACGACTCAAATCTTTAACATCACATCAAAAAACACCACCATTGTAAGTTTTAAAAAGTGAAATACACCTTTTTTTGCATAGAAAAGGTGGTATGTATATAAAAATTGAAGTTTAGGTGCTAGATATGTAAATACATAGGAATTGAGTAGCATGCATGTAAATCTTCCTTCTATGTAATACTCTTTCTTCCTTCTGTACTAGGATGTTTTTATCCACTATATAAATAGAGTTCGCTGTTATGCACAGGGTATTTTAACTAACGAGACAAGATGTCTGAGGTGTGAAACTGTGACTGCTAGAGACGAGACTTTTTTAGATTTAAGTCTTGACATTGAGCAAAATAGTTCCATCACAAGTTGTCTCAAAAACTTCAGCTCGACTGAGACTTTGAACGCCGAGGACAAGTTCTTCTGTGACAAATGCTGCAGGTTTGTTATGTAAAAATTCTCTGTTTAAACAGATTAATTGTGTTTTTCTAGTCTAGTTTAATGATAATATATAAAAGCCATGTTGCCCCAAAATTATATTGTGAAAATAACAAATTTTATCTTCTGATGCACGCCTGTTAAATTAGATTTTTTTTGGGATGAATTGCATTTTTTTTTAATTTGTTGTTAAAATACCACTCAAAACTTTGACATCACAACAAAAATACCACTATTAGTATCTTTTTAAAAGTGAAATACACCTTATCATGCATTGTTTTATGACATCAATGAATTATAATTGTAAAGATCAAACTTTGGTTGTTAGCTATGCAAATACATAAGAATTGTTTGGAAAATTTCTTTTTTTTTTATCACAACTTTACTTGCCCTTCTTCAAAATCAGTTTTTCTGAGGCAAAATTTTGAAAAATGCCATCCAAACAGAAATTATTTTTTGTTGGCTGCTTTTGTTTATCATAAAACCAATCGAAAAGTTGTCCCAACTAATTTTATTAGCTCCTTAATCAATAGTTGTGTTCATACTCATCTAACCAACATCTATATTAATGATTTAGCTTGCAAGAAGCTCAGAAAAGAATGAAGATAAAGAAGCCGCCAAACATCCTCGTGATTCATCTCAAGCGCTTCAAGTACATAGAACAACTTGGGAGGAACAAAAAGTTGTCATACCGTGTCGTTTTCCCCCTCGAGCTGAAGCTCAGCAACACTGTCGAGAATGCTGATTCCGAGTATTCTCTCTTTGCTGTTGTCGTTCATGTTGGAAGTGGGCCCAACCATGGGCACTATATTAGCCTTGTTAAGAGCCACAGTCATTGGCTGTTTTTTGATGATGAGAATGTAGAGATGATGGATGAATCTCATGTTCAAACTTTCTTTGGTTCAGCACAGGAGTACTCTAGCAACACTGACCATGGCTACATCCTCTTCTACGAGTCTCATCCTGGCGTTGTTGGGACGTAGGATTTTTTTGTAATTTTTTCTTTTTTCTGGGGGCTTATGTAATTTTACATTTTTAGCAATGTTTCTTAATTTGTTTACCTTTTGTCACATGGCATAAAATTGAAAAACCTGGAAGGGTAGATTTGATAAGTTTATTTTACATGTCTTTTGGTGTACAGTAAATGTTAGTGTGACTCCATTGATTCAATAATGAAAGAACTGTAAATTTGAGTTTTTTTTGGTGATGGAGAATTCTGTATTTGAATAATTGTATGAGATGAATTTTCTTTGGAAGCTATTCGAATTTAAAATTAATTAAAAGGGTTTAATTAATTTAGCCTTGTAAGTAATATATAGTTGCAAAAGTGTTCATTTGGTAATTTGACGAAATAAAAATTTGGCAGACAACATAAATAAAATACATGTATGGCATCATTGTATTATAAATGTAAATATCAGGTTTCAGGTGTTTGATATATCAATACATAAGAATTGTGAGGTCTGCATGCAAATTTCTCTTTATTTTATTCCTTCAACAGTTGTATTTCCGCATAAGCTGATAAGAGAAAAACTCGTTAGACCCCACCTCTCCTGCACTGTTTGCAGAGCTCTTTAATTTTATTTCAGAGTGATTATCTGGCTTTATTTGTGCTAGTTTTTTGGCTGGCTTATTCTACGGCTGATGCTCTGCATTATTTTATGTTATTTGTTCTTTGTATTGTTTAGGGATGTATTGTTGATTAAGCGTTTGATTATTGGTGGCGCGGCTTCTTCGGATGCTTCCCTTTGGCGCTTTGCTGCTTTCTTGCTGAATTTTGGTCGCCTCCACACCCATCCCCAAAATAAACTAATGGTGAATGAGTAATTTGCATTAAAGTTTTATATGGATTCAAATGTTAGACTATATGTTGAGAATATCATTTTATTCATTAAACCTTCAGTTGATCCAACATATATACCCTCATAGGAAGTGATATGTTAGAGAGGGAAAAAAAAAACTCTAATTTTAGCATATTTGTCGTTGAATTGAAGAACTTGATAAGATGAATTTAATGATATAAAAAATGATCCGGCCTGGTTCAAATTAAGTTCTTGATGAGTAATTATACTTCAAATTTAGCAAGTTCATGATAATCGAGTAATGACATAAAAAATCATAGAACTAGATTCCAAATAAGCTCAAATCAAGTACATGATGAGTAATTATTATTATTTTTTAATATTAATTTAAGATGTAAATGAACTAGAATATTTAAGGAAACAACAATGATTGAATCATCTCTCTTTGTAAAGTACAAATGATTGTAAAATACATTGGTACACGCAATAGACATGAATTATGGAATATAAAACACTAAAAATATTATCAAGCAATCACTGGCTGCCCACTTGATTATGTTTTATATGAGAGGGGAGACGAGTAATCGTAAGAGTGAGCATCAACATTAGTTGAGATAGAACATGTCTTATTTGTTGAAGATGTCGGGCATTGACGTCAATATTTAGGACAAATGACGATCATTATTTCGACAATGAATATCGATTATGTCATCAACGACTAGAATTAACCATGTTGACAACGGAAGACGTCAAACTTGGTGCCAATGATGAGCTTTGGCATTGGAGCCCAAAGCTCTCTATCAACATTAATATTGACTCCATCATCAAAACGAAAAGTCTATATCCATCAAGACTAACATTCAACACCATTGCCAACACCGGTGTTAGTCATTCAAATCAATGATGATGCTCGCAGAGCCTATCATTACTAATATTCGTCATTGAAAGTTATGTTGAGGCTCCATCTCGGGCTACCTAATACCTATTGCCCACCTCTTTTTCTCTTTAATCTTTCTTAAACTTAAGTGTCACTTTTATAATAAATTTATAAAAAGGAATAACTCACCAATATTTCTAATGAATCCAACACGAGGAAAAACTATACTCAAGAGAGTTCTACGCAAATTTCAATATCACATAAATATTTAATTAAAGGAATACATAAACTTACCTCTTTTAAAATATAAATGAATAATTATTTATTTATATAAAGCAATCCAAGCAATGGTTATTGTTTTATTTGTGAGGCGTTAAAGTAGCTAATAAAGCACACGGCTGAGTAATTATAATTATTTTTAAATTCCAGATATGCCAGCTCAATTGTCAATAATTTTAAATTTGTTTAATAGAAAAGAAGGACATTTGCATACATATCACACAATTCTGAAAAATTATTTCATACGGACATCGTATGTAGACATGCATGCGATGACCGATCTCCAGCGTTCATCATAGCAAATTCTTTTTAAAAAAAATCAAAATCAAAATAGGGCTCACCATCATATATCTTTGTTGTGATGGACTGTGAAAATCAGACATCATATGCATCTCTGCATACGGTATTCATAGTGTCCGTATAGAATAATTTTTCCACAATTCTTATCTATTTATATACTTAGCATCTAAAATTTTTAATTTATATTTTTAACGTTCAAAATTTTAAAATCACATAAAAAATATCAATACCATTAATTTTTTAAAAAGTAAGAATACACATTTTTATCCATAAATATATATACAAAAAATACTATAAATATAAACATCAAACTCTAGATGTTAGATATGTAAATACATAAGAATTATATGACATGCATGCAAATTTCCCTAAAAAACATTTTTTTTTTTTTTGTTATTTAAATACAGGGAAGGCTGCAAACTGGAAAGCCCGCTTCTTCTCTCTTCTATGAAATGGGGCAGACGTCGAACAAAAGAAGAGCGGAGGAGCTGCCCGGCGGAGTGGCCAATGGCTGCATCGCCGGCGACGTGGAGGGGGAAGCGTCGCGGCCGCTCAACTTTGCGGTTGTGGAAGCCGGAGTTTTCCGGTCGGGGTTTCCGGAGGCTGTAAATTTCAGTTTCCTCCAAAATCTCCGGCTTCGCTCCGTCGTGTGAGTGTTTTGTTCTTTTCTTTTTCGCAATCTTTGTATGCTGTTAATTTCTAGTTTCTGTTTGTTTAATGGATTGAATTGGTAATTTCAGTTATTTGTGCCCTGAGCCGTATCCGGAGGCGAACTTGGAGTTCTTGGAGGCCAATGGAATCAGGCTTTTCCAGTTTGGAATTGAGGGTCATAAGGTAATTGATGGGGAGGTTTTCTGAGATTGTTAAATGATCTGATTGTTAACTTCTTGTTAGTGTTTTAATGTTTGGATTGGTGGTTATATTTCTTAGGCTGGATTTAGTAGTAGTGGTAGTAGTTATTTAAGCTAAAAATGATGCTTCGGTATGGAAATTAAAAGGAAATCTGGCTGAAAGATAGCTTAAGATAGCATATACTTTTGTTTTTTCTATTAGGGATAAGGCTTGGCGCATGCTTTCTTTTATTATAGCCTTCAATGTGTAGGCTCATATTCAACTGGTTCAAGTTAATAAAATCATGATGAAGACCTAAATTAGGTTCTAGAAGCTGTTCATTGAGAAGACGATTGAGTTATCTATAACTTGTATATTCAAATGTCGCTTAAAGTTTTCAGCCACCAAAAAATTGAATTTGAATAAATCTCTTAAGAGTCAACTCTAACTTGACCCTTAGTACCAGGCCAATAGGCTGGCTTATTAACTAGGATTACTCACCAACGAACTCATCAACTCACGAAGAGTATTCACTAACCGATTAAAGGTTGTGGTCAGAAGAAACTTGCCGGTGCTCAATTCGTTTGTCACAGTTTTACCTTCTGCATTTTTTATGTATTTTGTGTTATGTTGCCAATTTTGGATTATCAATCTTGGTATTTGCTAATAAATACGGGTTACTAATCGAGAGTAGGCATATGAAATTTGCACATTAAATCTCGATACCATTCTCTACAAAAATCTTAGGACCTTGCCATTTTAGGTCTAAAGAGTTTAGCCAAGTTCTTTGTAAATTTGTTTCCTAATATTCTCATTGATATCTTGTTTCTCTCTATTTTTATCGTGCCTTGGGCTTGATTCATTTTCTAATAAGGTTTTGGTATTTCTTCCATGAACACCTATGGATCCAACATAATGAATTTTAGCGTACGTGAGCTTCCACTAAGTGAGGACTTTTTTTTTTTTTTTTGGTGGCACTAGCTAGCTCTATTTTGGAATTCTAGCCTGCGTTTGAAATTGCGCCATAGTTTGGGGGTGGCGAAATTTTAATGAATGTAGTCCTTCATTGATGACAAAATAAGATTTTGAAATTTTTTAAATGGGAGAGTATTAAAGAAGAATGAAGAGATGTGGGTCTAAGCTACCCATTTTGATTGAATTCTTATCATTTTTTTTTGTTTTTGTCGATTAGTTTGGAGCGAAACATATTCTATATTTTAACTTTGAACGTAATTTTCACGTTTTGAATCGTGATAGGAAATGGGTATAATGTATTAAAATTGTGGAGTGAACTAATGGTGGAACATGTGATCATATAGTGATTCCATATGCTAGGTTGGCTGTCTGTGTTAGCTAAGAAGTAGCACTTGTGCTTATAAGTTTAATCCTCATTAAACATGATGTTTTATGGTCAAAATGGTGAAATTTGAATTTAGATGAGACTAAAAGAAAATTGAAACTAATCAAAGGAATTAAACAAAAAACATTACAAACAAAAAAAATCAGTAAGCCACAATTTACCTAAAATATATATATATATATATATGTTGATGTAATATATAAGTATACTATATCAAATACGTTCTATGTATTCATATGTTTACATTAACACTGTATTTGTATATTTGGTGGACTCGTAAGTAGTTTCTAATTCGGGACCTCTGCCACCTATGTTGACCATAATAAGCAAATTTCAAATTTTGGTGATGTATAATACTGATGATTCTGACTTTTAGATGTTAGGTGATGAATAAAGAAGAAGTATGTCCAATAGCATCAATATAGATGGAAGAATACTATTTCACACGTGTCACTGAGTCATCATGACTAAGAATCTGCTTTAGACGTGCTTCCATGAAGAAGTTACCAAGAAGGATATATTTAGTTAGAATGCACTCCACTATGGACATGATGTGTGCTCATCTACTAAGAAATGCATTCAAATTTCACATACTCATGAATAAAATAATCATTTAATCATTTGATAGCATGCCAATTTACATGATTCTTTGTGCCGTGTTTTACTATGAAAACATGCAAATGTTACATTCGAGAAGAAAAACTTAGTTTCTCATGTGGGTCATATTGTAAATTCAATTCTTAATTTTGCAACGTAATAAATAATTTGAGCAATATATTAAGGTACTCTGTACGGAGGTGTTATATATTTTACTAATTGTTTTGTAATGCAAAATGTCAAAAAAAATATAAATGTAAAGCTATTACCAAATTTACGATGAACTCTTTGAATCTGTTCTCCCAATCATTTTTGTTCTCTTTTATTTGTCATGACATATACTAGGATATAATTTCTAATGTTAAGGTTTAGTGGTTCAAATGAAGAATTATGTTTAGAAACGCAATGTGTTGGAAGAATGTCGTGGAAACTCAGAATTCTATACATTGTAATTAATCAACTATGTTCTATATATAGGAAGATAAAGGGGTGGGCAAAAAATATGAAAAAAAAAAGATTTGTAGTGTAACTTGATTTGCACAAGTTTAAATTAACATGCCATGCTCCACTCAACATTAATGAATAAAAATATTGATAGATGAAAAAAGGCTAATAATGATGATTATATCTGTCATATTACCTTTTCCAGCTAAGAAGAATTACTGCATTTAGATTTAATGCTTGTTCATATAGATACCACAATTCATACTGCTTTTATATTTCATTATTGCTCTTGTTTTGTGAGAACATAATCAGAGTCGGGAAATATCGTCCATAATAGGCCATTCATAATTATTTATACGGCATTTACATGCGTACCACCAAATTCCTTTGTATTTAGATATCTAACACCTAAACTCTATTTCTTATATTTGTGCCTCCCAAATCATTCACATCACATAAATATGTCATCATTTTAACTTTTGAGAAGTGATTCATTTTCTCATGCACAGATAAGGTGTGTATGCAAAAATTGAAGTTGAGATATGTCATCATTTTAACTTTTGAGAAGTGATTCATCTTCTCATGCATAGATATGGTGTGTATGCAAAAATTGAAGTTGAGATGTAAATACATAGGAATTGAGTGGCATGTAGGTAAATCTTCCTTATTTGTATAGTATCAGTCAATCCTTTTGCCATTGGCGCTACTAGAAAGCTTTTTTTTTTTTTTTTGCTTTACAACTCCTTGTATTTCATGCATCTTTTCCAAATGAGTAAAATGCCAAAACAACCCTCTTAGTTTTAGAGTTTATAGAACTGCCAAAACGGTCTTCAAACTCTTTAAATTTGGGCTGAAATAGTCCCCATGGAAGGCTGTTAGCACTAAATTTTAAATTAATCACTATTTTGACATTTTTATAAACTGTTGGGATATATTTTGGCACTTTACTTTTTTTTGAAATCCTAAATTAGGGTTAGTTATCAAAATTTTCTTACTTTCTTGTTCCATTTGGTACGGTTATAAACATTTTATATAGGTCTTGGTTGGGAGTACGCAAATGAGGAAGACTTATATATCAACTGGTTAACGTCATTCTATATTTTATTTGGGCTTCCATGATGCTCTAATATAAAATTTCATAATGATGAGGTTATTCGGACCCCAATCATGCATTTCATTCAATGGAGCATGTGAATTTATTCGAGTCAACTCTTTGACTTTGCCTCAGCAATCTTTTTGCTACTTAAACATACAGCTGCACCCTTGATAAAAAAAAATGATTTATTTTATCCAATTTAGAAGGCTATATGATCAAAATGCTAAATCTGAAACTTTCTTGTAGGAACCGTTTGTGAACATCCCAGAAGAAATGATTCGGGAGGCTCTCAAAATTGTTCTTGGTATTAAAAACGCGCACAATTAGCTTCTTAAACTTTGTTCAATGATATATACTAACTTGTTTTTTTTACACAGACGTTAGCAATCACCCTCTACTCATCCATTGCAATAGAGGCAAGGTACTCTGGGTGAAAACCAAAAACCCTTCACAGATTTTCCCTACTTCAATACCGGATTTGGGGTGCAAACGAGCCGGGTCGAGTTTGAGCTTGAACTTAATTAATTAATCGAGCTTGAGCCTAAATTTGAGCTTTGAGCCAACTCAGGAACCAGTTTGTTTATTATGAAAGAGAAAATAATATCAATTCAAGTAATATTTATAATAAAATGTAAATAGAATGAATAATTAGGAGATAAATAATAAGAAATCACTTGACATAAATACAAAATATCATTTTTAAAATATTTATAATAATTTAATGATAAAATTTTGAACTTTAATATATTTTGAAGGTATATTTTATATTAATTTTTTTTAATCGAGCTGGCTCAGGGGCTAATGAGTCGAGCCAGTCCAGGAGATACTTACCAAGTTAAGCCTGATCCGGCACACTAGTTAGTTCGGCTCAGCTGCACCCTTAATACTGGATTTTGTACAAACTTGATCAAAGTTTTACCAACTTTTTTGCATTTTCTTGGCCAGCATCGCACTGGCTGTGTCGTCGGCTGTTTAAGGAAGCTTCAAAAATGGTGCTTATCTTCAGTATTCGATGAATACCAGAGCTTTGCTGCGGCAAAGGCGAGAGTTTCTGATCAGAGATTCATGGAGCTGTTTGATATTACCACCTTGAAGCATCTGTCACCTCAATTTGGCCTTCTGAAAAGTTCAGCAGTTGCCTGAAGAGGTTGTCTCCTTACCAGTTGAAGGTAGCTTTACTTTTATTAATGTTCAGAAGAACCTTTTCTTTATTTCTTTTTTATTAACTTTGGAGAAGAACTGAAAAGTCTGCTTAGTTATTTTATGTTCTTTTTTATTAACTTTGGAGAAGAACTGAAAAGTGCTTAGTTATTTTATGAGATCCTTTGCAGATTCTTTTCCCTTTTTGAGTTGTGAATGCATATTATATAGTGTGAGGAATGGTTTGAATTAATTGAGGGTGTTTAAGAAAGATTGCTTGTTCTGCCTCAAGTATTGGGCCAATATATAAGAAAAGGAAAATTAATGTAATTTGGGAGAGTTTATACTTTGGTTCATTTTTGTGTTAAAATGTGGCTATGACTTTGGACCATGTTTTTGGAGGGTTTGAAGTTAAATTTTCTATTTAAAAATATAATTGTAGAGAAAATAATTTAAATGCGAGATGTTTCAAGCTTCATCCTAAGTACTAATAACTTAATTTAAGGGTGGTTATTATTATGGATATTGAACTTTAAAGGAGAGGTTTAAAAATAAATATTAATATTATTTTAATATAATTTAAATAATATACTAATATTTATTTAGAAATTTGAGAACATCTCACATTTTAGTTGAAATCAGGGTTGGAGGACCAATTAACCGGTCAGCCGCATCAGATCCATACAGTGAACAATAAGATGATGATGCCAAAATTCTCCAGTTTAAACAAATATAACATTTAAGAGAGAATAACCAGTTAGCCAGCAAAGAGATTTATTGAATTGTAGCAAAAGGCCTTGTTACCGTGCAACGCTGTGATAATTTAAGAAAGATGATTAATTTGATTCTCATCACTGAAAACTTATTCATCCAGGCTCTGGACATAGAGATAAGTTTAGAGTCTAATGAATCATCTTCACATGAAGTTGATCCGGCCCGGTAACACGGAACCGGTCAACCGCATCAGATCCATACAGTGAACAATAAGATGATGATGCCAAAATTCTCCAGTTTAAACAAATATAACATTTAAGAGAGAATAACCAGTTAGCCAGCAAAGAGATTTATTGAATTGTAGCAAAAGGCCTTGTTACCGTGCATCGCTGTGATAATTTAAGAAAGATGACTAATTTGATTCTCTCATCACCGAAAAATTATTCATCCAGGCTCTGGACATAGAGATAAGTTCAGAGTCTAATGAATCATCTCCACATGGAGTTGATCCGGCCCGGTAACACGCGGGAATATTCTCCTGAATTATTTCACGTTATTCAGGTGTAATTGTTGTGATACTGATATGTTATTGTATTATTATAAAATCAGGAATATAATAACATATTAATACCACCACAATAATACTTGAATAACGCAAAATAATACGGAGAATATTTTCCTCTGAGCTAAAACAAACTTTTTTTATTTTTTTGTCACCTCCACGTTGCGTAATTTCATTAGACTTCGGACATATCTCTACGTCTGAAATCCAGATATAATAATTTTTCCTCATCACCAAACGATGTGCCACCCGGACAAATGGGGCAGTTAACGAGTCTAGAGTCGAGTCAACCTTGAGTCACTCTAACTGAACTTAATTCTATTAATTCAAGCGGGCTTTTTTAGCATGAATGAGAGAATAAATATTAATTTAAATTAATGTTATAATAAAATAATAAATATAATAAATATTTAAGAGAACTAATAAAAATCACTTACATATAAAATGTAAAATATTTAATACACTGGTCCGTCATAAAAACTCACCTTTTATAAGCTGGGCTCGCAACGACCTCCATTGGGAGATCAACTTTATTATTATCATTTTGTGATTAGCATTGATCAAGTTCAGTTTTTCACGGGAAGTGCACAAATTGAGTTGTCCCAAAAACTTGCTCTTTCTTATGAATTATCCTGAGAGCTCAGCTATTGACGCCTCCAAAGGGAGGCCTGCGCCTATTGTTATTATAGCCTGCCTGGCAACTACAATTTTGGACATGATTGCCAATTCTTACATTTTTAATTTTAACCATTTTAAATTCCTAAGAAATCATCAGTCAATTTAAAGGAATCTCTTCCAACATCGCCCGAAATTATGAACCCACTTTCAATGGATTAAGCAAATTACCCACGAACATGAAGTAGGAACAATAAAACCGACCGACCAAATTCGGTTCTCATTAATCAAACTAACTAATCAGAGAAAGATCATCACTTTAAATGCACAAAGTGATTATTAAACAATTAGTTTATGAAGGATCAATAATATCTCTACCCCCATGCTATGCTCCCCTTTTTAAGAAAAGCCTGCACAAAGTGATTATTAAACAATTAGTTTATGAAGGATCAATAATATGTCTACCCCCATGATATGCTCCCCTTTTTAAGAAAATTTCCGCTTCTTAGCCTCCAAAACAGACTCTTGTAGCAAGAACAAGCAATAAAAATAGAAGAACTCACATAATTTTTAAAAGTTGGCCACGATACTCTGTGTCGGTCACAATTCATCTTTAGAAGCGGCAGCATTGTCGTCCATCAGATCTTCAAGGGAGAACTCATCCTCTTCAATGACCTCTCCATCTTTACCATCCCATGGTTCTGTTTGAACGATGGAGGGAACTTTCTCCAGGGGTAAGTTGCCCTTACCACCTTGCCCTGCTTCCTTCACAAACTCACTGTAAAATATGAACTTCATGTCAGTTTCTCTGCCATCGATAATAGGATGAATTCTAATAAACTGAGAAGGGAGAAGCTTTACTTGATCTGGTTGAGCTGAAAAGCACTTCGAAGAGGGGCATATACGCCTTTTTTAACGTTAAGGGCGACCAAAGCTGGGTAGCCATAGCCACCCACACCAACCTGTTGCTCAAGATCAGGCTGTTTCCCAGCAGCAGCCCAAACATAGCTGTGCATGAGAACAAATAGTTTAATAAATGTGCTGATCATATATTTTTGGGTAAGAAATCACATATTGTTCTGAAGCCTGATTAGAAGATATGAAGTTCTAGTGAAACAAAAGCTAACAAGAAGATTTAATGACTTCGCTATTTTTATTTTTATTTATTTCTTTATTTTTAAATTTTATGATACATATTGTACAATAGACACCTTTTTTTTGAGAGAATATAGTTAGGAACTTCACATCACATAGAGAATTAGAATGATAAGTCCGTTAAAGGAGTTTTCATTAGTGAAGACATCCTGACACAATTCTAAACGAGTTCGAATGAAAAGTGTGTGAAGACATCCTGATGCAAATTTTAGAGCTCAACAAATGAAATAGTTCACTGACTCGAAACAAGTTTTTTCATTATAATGTCATTGTTCTGGAAATATGAATATAGAGTATAAAAAAATTAAGGAAAAAAAACTTTAAAGGGATGAACTAAAAAATAAAAAGACAGTTAATTTAAAAATTTTAAAGTAAGTAAATTTTCAAATAGACTAATTAATCAATTTCTTACATAGTCTTCACCAAAATACAATAATTCAGCCATAAATTGCAAATTAATGTTAAAGTGTAATTGTAGCAGTAGCATTTAGTTAACATAAGTGACAATTAAACATAAGATAGAGGGTAGATGATACATTAAATTAACATAAAAATTTACAAAACCAACTGAAGCACATTAAAAATAAAATAAAAAGTTCGCAAAAAAAAATTATCTAAAATAACTTTCACACATCAAGAAGCAAAACTAAACAGAAACGAATAGGGAATGACGTTCATAAAAACAAAACCAAATAATTGGGAAAAAGCTAAAGTTGTGGATGATGATACAGATTAATAATGATATTGCAGGTAAACTTTACCTGTATGGGCTTCTTTTAAACTTCTCAGCAACTGATAACAGGAGGTCAAGGTACTTGTTTCTTCCCTCTGCCTTCGAATCCAAGATGTCTGGAAGGAAAGCCACAAAACATATAGCAGCTGTCGCACATTTTTCCTCCATCACATCCTACCCACGAAAGAACAAAACGTCAAATGCATGAAAGAACAAGCTTTATTTGAGAGAAGACCGCGAAAATGAAATCTTACAGGGCCAGATAACTCTAATACTTCGGGAGGAGATACATTGGTTTCCAGCTGCTCTAATGCAAAAGATTCGATTGCTGGAGCAGCTCTAGCACCTTCGTAGGGGAATGGGCTTTCTTTGTCAGCCCCAAATACCAGAATTGTAGGGAATCCTTGTACGTTAAATCTGCTCATCAAGGACTGTTACCTTGAATGTTAGAATAGGGACTTTAAAAAAAATGTGCTGGTCAGCTTTAGTATTCAGAACCTAAGAGTCCATTTTGGCATCACTTTTGTTTTTTGTTGTTATTTTTTTTAGTTTTATTATTTCTAAAAAGAAATTGCCATGTTTTAAAAAAAACTCAAAAAACCTAAATGATATTTTGGTGTTTTTAAAAACAGCTATCACAATCAAACATGTTCAACTCAAAACAAAACATAAACAAAACAAAATATAAATAAAAAATAAAAGTGAGCCCAAACAGGGCCAAATAGAATCTATGTTCAATCAGCAGTTGCTAAAAATGTGAAATGAAAAGCCATAAAACAATCAGAACAACATGCTAGTTGAAATATTGACATGGTTATTATAGGTGAGGAGTGAATATTTTTTTTCTTTATTATGTAGTTTAACACTGCCTTAGCCGGGCCTCATGTTCTGGATGTGATAAGTGAAAGGTTGTGTTAGATAATCGATAGCCAACATAAAATTTTTGTCGAAAAAGTCATGACATAAATCCTATATTATGTAGTTTATGAAACCAGCAATATTGTGAAGATCCATAACAAACTAAAGAATGAAGCATGAGCTGGAAATTTCCATCCGAAAAAAAATGGCAGATGGAATGCATACTGAACGCAACATTTACAGTATTGAAATCATGCTTTTGAATAAAGAATCAAAGGAAGAACACATTTAAAGTCCTACCACTGACACAAGTGGTTGAAACTCCATTATAATACATAAAGTAGAATATCTCAGTCTGTTATTCAATTTAAGCTCACTCAATCCTAATAATATGCATAATACGGCAAAGAACACGACCATAATTAAGCTGAGGTCATGACTTCTTCAAAAACTGTTGGTAATAGTAGGAAAATTGGGGTACCTTCTCTGCATCACAATCAACATGGCCAAATTTAACCTTCCCCTTCAAGTTATTTGCTGCTTTCTTCCATTCTGGTGCAAGCTTTTTGCAATGCCCACACCTGAACAAAGAAAAGGAATAAATATAAAATTTAAAAGAGTTTATCAGATAGGAAGCACAAGGGCTTGTTACAAAGATGAAAGCTGAAAAAAAAAATTTTAATGCAGGTCAAATTGTACTGTGATTATAGGCACCAACTACAAAAGTAATATGAATTGGATTAGATGCTATGGATTAGGGCCCTTTTTTATTCCAAATTTCATCTTGCTTCAGTTTTGCAGCAATAATGATAGGCAATAATAAAACTCTTGTGGTATTAATTGGAGAATATTATTGTTTGCAAATGAAGTTCATAAAAGGCCTCGTGAATCAATCTATTATAAACATGGGTAAACCAAAGAAGAGTTAAGAAACCATTAAAAACTCATCCATCAACTCATAAACTGGTACCAGTTTGTATCAAAAACTCCGTTGCCACAATCGCCGTCGAGGCTTCTGAAGATCCTCGCCAGATCGACCAACATCGGTCGCGTCAGGGAGTTTAGGGTTTCTGTCCGGTTGATGGTCACCACGGCTACCCCGGAGGGGCGGCGATCGAGGAGGGATTAGGTTGTCCAATCCATCATCGCCTCCCTGCTGCTTCCGCCGGCGTTAGATCCATCTGATAAGCACCGGTACAAAAAATAAGGGAGTAACTTTTTGAAAAGAAGGATGGCTTCTTGGAGCTTTCTTCGAGCGACTTGATTTCTCGTCGATTTCATTCTTAGGTTTTCTTTGTTTTCGGAAGTTTGGCCTGGATTTTCTCTATCCAGCTTTAAACCATGGCTTCGGGTGTCGTTCAAAGATGTGGTTTTAGGTAAACATTATGGTGTGGGAGAAGTGCGTTTATCTGCGGATTTTCATAGCCAACTTACTGAGAACCCTAATGTGGGTTTGCTTCCAAAAGCTTTCCATAAGAACGGTAAACCTGTACTTCTTTTTTTTGATGAAGATACAGGAATCCTGACTGAGCCTTTAAAGTATACTTTAATCGTTAAATTTGATTTTGCTCATCCTAAATTGGAGGTTATTTGGAAGTTCTTTTCTGATTTACATTTTATGGGGGGATGAAATCTGGGTTTGATTGATAATCGAAACCTAATGATTAAATTGCAATTAGAAGAGGATTATACCTCTTTTTGCAAAAAAAAAAATTTGACCAATGAGAAGTGTTATTTGAAGCTTCTTAAATGGACCCCTGGTTTCAACCCTACAGAAGAGACCCCCTAATGTGCTCAGAGGATTATACCTCTTTTTGCAAAAAAAAAAATTTTGACCAATGAGAAGTGTTATCTGAAGCTTCTTAAATGAACCCCTGGTTTCAACCCTAAAGAAGAGACCCCCTAATGTGCTTGGCCCCTATTGTGCATGTCTGGATACGATTTCTGAGGTTGAAACTTCATTTTTTTAATCTGAAAGTCTTTATTCTTTGGGATCGATTTTTGGTAAACCATTGAAAATGGATTTGGCTACGAGTAATTTGTCTAGGCCTTCAATGGCTAGAATATTGGTTGAGCGCGATGTTACTTTTGTTTTCCACGACTCTATTTGGATGGGGAATTCGAATGATGGGTATTGGCAGAAAACTGAGATGGAATTTGTCCCACATTGCTGCACGAAATGCAAAATGTTTGGATATCTCATTTCTCATTGTTACAATGTTCATTTTGAATTACGGAAATATAAAAACAGTAGTGGTAAAAATCAAAATGAATTGAATGTGAAAACCAAATCCCCTGAGAATAACCGATTTCACAAGGCAGATACAATTGTTTCTTTACATTCTTTAAATATTAATGAATTCTCTATATCAGATGCGAATACTAATGTTGATATGGGATCTTCGAACACTGATATTGTTCCCAAATTAGTAGATAATTCTTTGATTCTTGCGAATGATCTTCCTCCTTCTGCTACTATTTCGAAAAATATTGTTGATGCAGGAATTTTGGTTCTTAATGGGATGGGGAAAGATAATTGTAATGGTTCTCATTCTCATTCTGGGAAATTGCAAGTAGATAAACAATTGATTTTGCATTTACTGATGAAGGTCGTGCTCTTACTCGTTTGGAATTAGAAGAGGATTGGATGATCCAGAGATCATCCAGGAAAAAGAAGTTTAAAGGATGCAGGGAACTGAGTTATGTTAATCCTGAGGCTTTACATGCTCATTTACAAGGAAAAGAAGCTGATAAGCCTGAAATGGCTATTGTTAGTAGATCTAACAGAGGAAAGATTGTTATCGATGAAGTTTAACACATTATTTTGGAATATTAGAGGCATTGCGAAATCAAATGCTTCTAATAGACTTCTTAATCGTACCTATAATTTAAATTTTCTGAGCATTCTGGAGCCTATGGTTGTTGCGGTGAATAACGAAGTTTATATGAAAAGGTTTGGTAGAAAAGATTTGGTGCTTTCAAATCTTTTGCAAATATTAATAACAAAATTTAGTTTTTCTAGAAAGGTTTTTTAAAGATTGACATTCTTATCAATCACTCTCAGATCTTGCATATTCGTATTCATTATGCTCAGGATTATTTTCTTTTGTCTATTATTTATGCGGGTTGCACTAGACAAGCACTTTCTGAACTTTGGAATTTGATAAAATCTTTAAATCCTTATGGTGAGGATTGGCTTATGGGAGGTGATTTCAATATTATTTCTTCTGCTATTGAGAAGAAAAGAAGCAGCAATCCTAATTTTAAGCTGATAGATGATTTCAATGCTACTCTTATGGATGCGGGGCTCTATGATTTGGGTTTTAATGGAAACCCATTTACTTGGTATAGAGGGAAAGTTTTCGAAAGGCTTAATGGATATGTTGTCAATACTAATTGGATCAATAAATTTTCTCTTTATATCGTTACTCATTTAGCTATCGATGCTTCTGATCATGCTCCTATTCTTTTAAAAATAAGAAACAGTTCTTATATTAATCATTATCAATTTTGTTTTTATAACATATGGATTCATCATGTTAGTTTCAAACAGTTTCTGAAAGATAATTGGAAGGTGGATGTGTTTGGCTTTGCAGGTCATAAGCTTTGGTTGCATAAAAATCTTGTCAAAGCTCTTAAGAAATGGAATTGGAAAGTTTTTGAGCACCTTCAAAGAAATAAAGAGGCTCTAGAAGAAAAGGTTGAAGGTTTGGAAACTGATTATGCTAATAATATTATTGATTGGAATGTTTTATTTCAGGGACAGAAACAGTTGACAGAAGTTATTAATATGGAGGAAAGTTTTTACGCTCAAAAAGCTGCTAAGGATAATTTCATGAATGGCGACAGGAACACTGCATTTTGCCATTCTTGTATTAAGAGCCGTCATAATGCTAATCTGATTTCTAGAATTGTTAAATGCAGATGGTATTGTTCTTCATAATTTGGTTGAAATTGCTAATAAAGAAGTTCAGTACTTTTCTAATGCTTTCAATAGCAATGGTGGTACTCTTGATCCTATTGATTGTAATCTTTATAATGATGGAAGTAGGATTAATACTTCCTTGCTTACTTGTATTCCTAGCTGTTCAGAAATCAAAGAGATTGAAAGAGACTATTGACCATATGGAGACCGGCAAAGCGGTTGGTCCTGATGGTTTCACTGCTGAGTTCTATAAATACAGTTGGGACATTATTCATAAAAAAATTGTGGATACTATTCAAGACTTTTTTCGAGGTAAAAATTTGCCGAAATATTTTAAATCCTCTGATATTGTGTTGATGCCTAAGGTGCGTGATGCTACTACTTCGGATGTTTTTCAACCTATTAGTTTGAATACGGTTCTGTCCAAGATTATATCAAAAATTATGGTAAAAAGGCTTCAACCAATTCTTAATGATATTATTAGCATGAATCAGTCTGCTTTTATGAAAATGAGGAATATTTGTGATAATGCTCTTATTGTTCAAAAGCTTCTCTTGGATATTGATAAAAAGAGCAGAGGAGGGAATATAATATTCAAAATGGATATTAAAAAAGCTTTTGACACTATTCGTTGGGAATCCATTATAGATATCCTTCAAGCTATTGGCTTTAATAATGCCTTCTGCAAGGTTATATATAGAATCCTCAATAACAACTATTATTTTATTCTTATTAATGGTAATAAGCATGGATATTTCAAAGCTTCTAAAGGTATCAAACAGAGAGATCCTCTCTCACCATATCTCTTCATTATTGTTTTTGACTACTTATCAAGATGCTTGAATGGCTTATTTACTTGTTATCCTAGTTTGAATTATATCCATAAAGTCAAAATGAGTATTTCTCATTTGTGTTTTGCTGATGATTTAATTATATTTACCAATGCAAACAAAAGATCCATAAAAAAAGTTTGTGATGAGATTTTAAAATTTCAGAATATCTCTGGCTTGCTCTTTAATACTTCTAAATGTTCTTTTTATTGCTCCAAGAGTATAAATGGTGCTAATAAGAATTAGATTATGGACTATACTGGTTGTAACAAGGCTTCTTTCCCTTTGTCTTATTTGGGTTTTCATTTGGATAAGGGCAGGAAGAAAAATACTCTTTTTATGAATATGTTTGATAAAATCAAGCTTATGATTTTATCATGGGAAAATAAGTTTCTTTCGTTTGGAGGAAGAGTTACTCTTCTTAAAAGTGTGCTTACGTCTCTCTCACTTTATACTCTTCAAGTTATGAATATGTCTTCCGGTATTATTAAAAAGATTGAAAATCTTCTTAATAAATTTCTTTGGGAAGGCAGAGGTCACACAAAAATTCATTGGAAGAGCTGGAATAAGCTTTGTAAACCTACTGAGAAAGGTGGACTTGGGTTGAGAAGTTTAACTGATTCGATTAAGATCAACTATATGAAATTATGGTATCGATTCCGTCACAATAATTCCATTTGGGCTTCTTTAATGCATGCCAAATACTGCTTTAATAAGAATCATATGTCTATTACCTATAATACCAAGGATTCCTTTATTTGGCGTGAGATGCTTAAGGTTGCTAAAAGTACTGAAGAATTGATGCGTTGGGACATTGGTAAAGGAG